GCAAAGATGACTTCGAGGAGTTGAGACGAGTTATGTATACGTGCTGATCAGTTTTCTGAAATTGAAATTTGCTGGGCAATACTGAATGACGTGACTAAGGTTTATTGTTCCTACACTATCGCTGATTTGGAAATTCCTAATTTTCCAGTAACTGGAGAATTTTAATGCAGTGATAAACTTCCAGCTGCAATAACATTAACTGATCGTTGTTGAATTGTAATTCTTGACGTTTAAAATGAACAACATCGAGATCGAGTATTAATAAAAACAAGTTCTGTTTAACCCGGCAATATACAGAATTTCATTTGCTTACCCACCTCAATCGCTTTAGATACTGCACTTCAGGATTCTTCGATAAGCCTCTCAAATTAAGTCTCCGACTATGAAAGATTCGTAAAAACACAGATGCTATCAATGTCAATTCTGCTTGCATTTTTATTTGCATTCTCACCTCACCCTGTTAATTTTTGTGTGTTACATTATACTACTTGATAATAATCAGTAACCATTTTCGATTACAATAATGGTACGGCTTGTTATGTCTATCAGTTGTTTGATATTTATGTACATAGAGTTCCGACATAGTATTTCTTTATTGTTCTTATTCCATCTTCATGATATTTACAACACTTACTTTTGCTTCTAGAGTATTCATAGAACATTTATTTTATAGTGATAATTTACATTTCTGGTGTTCTTCATTCTCGAGTTCTAACTGTCAGGTATTGTAGTTTCGACACAGCTATTAGCTGTCACAAAATCAGTAGAAACTTATTGTATTACTAACATGAATATGTTGAAGATAGTAGGTAATTTTTTAGACAATCTCCGAAGAATACAAAGGTAGTTCATCAGTACCATTCTTAGAGAAATGATAGCAATGCAGTACAACATGCTATTTATATGAAGCAATGATCAAACATAAATTTAGTAAATTACTCGTTTGTGTAAAGTAAAGAGAGATCAGAAACGCTGCATCATATTACGAGAATTTGGTTTGTTATTGAAAAAGAGAAGTGCAATAAACCTAGGCTTTTTAGGTTATTAGTAAGAAAGAAATTTACATAGTGAGTAAAGTGTAGAAGAGACAGATACTGAAGCTGCTCAAAAATAAAAGTTCGTCTAAGTGTTCCACAAGCTTTAGCCTTCTCCCACAGAGCGTTGTTTTAAGCCGTTCGCCAAGTATCACCGGATTTACTTTGTGGTTGTTAATTATCGGATGGGATTTCGTAACTGTGATACTCATGTCGTCCGAGTGTACCGGAGGAAAATCAACATTACTAGAGTCTTCTCCTAAATAAACGACTTTAGGACGATCGATGCCGATGTTATTGTTTGTTCCGTCCTTAATGATCATACATTACTTATGTATAAGCTATAGAACATTGAAGGACCCTTCGTATGCAATTTCAAGAGCTCGCTCTGTTGAGTCGCAACGTACAAAAACGTGTGTACTATATCGCAAGGCAAGTTGAACGATAACATCAGTTGAATGCAGTTGGGTGGAAAATGTTGAACTGAACACATGGCGTTTGTAAACCTGTTCGTGTGAGCGTTTAGATCACCCGGAAGTCAGAGTGTCGTTACGTAAACGAGTTTAGCTTCAGTGTACCCAATGTCAGCTTTCAATGCTTTGGAAATGCCGAATAAAACGATTGTAAGGGCGTCAGTTTACTGCGAAACCTTCCCAACTGAGAGTGAAGCTTTTAAAAATCAGTGAAGGCGTTCTACCAACTCGTTTGCTTTTAGGTGTTAAGTGGTCGTTCGGAACCGTGTGACTCCAAGTAGCGTAGTAATACAGCGGAAAAGTCCAGATTCGAACTGGCGTTCACGGTCTGCAGTGATAGTTGATTAGCAACCGAAGTTTGCTACCCACAGTTCAAGGAAGACACGATCCACTGTTTCAGCAGCTATATCCTTGACGGGTATAGCTTCTGGACACAGAATGAAACGGTTTACAAAAGTTAAGAGTATCCGTTTGAACCTGGTAAGGGTCCTACCAGATCCAGATGAACCTAGTCGAAAGAAGCATTTAGGGTTTCGAAAGGGATTAAGGAATATTGACCGTGTCTAGTCACCTTGGATTTCTGGTTGCTTACACAGAACTGTGTCTACTCCCTCACGTTTTCGTTCATTATTTCAATGCATGGCTAAGACTTCCATGCTGAATATGCTGTACCTCGATTTAGTGTATAGTAACCGTTTTGAGAAGAACGACAAAGGTTGCCAATCGTTGTTTATGGGTTGTTGTATGACTGCTCCGATTGCGGAGTCGGATGCACCTAATGTAACACTAATTGATGCCTCGATGTCTTGGTGTGCGAACAATGTGGCTTTGTGATAAGTTCCTTAAGTGTGAAGAACGCTTTATTCGCGATATCGTCCAAACTGATGGATTTCGCATTTCCACGAAGTTGTCTGGTTAAAAGTCTTATAAGAGAAGCGCAATCCATTATGAACAGTTTATAGAAACTTACTGGTCCGTTAAACGTGAGTAACTGCTTGATTGTGGTCGGTTCTGGGTTATCCAGAATGGCCACCACTTTGATTTTTAGAGGTCGTATGCACTGAGCATCAGTAGTATATTCGAGAAAACCTAGATATTGGGTGCCGAGTTGACATTTTTGAATGTCTACAGTAATGCCGTACTTTTGTAGTCGTTCGAAGACAAGGTTCAGATACTGGAGATGAAATGCTCTGTATGTACGCATATACAAAGGTGAGACATCGAAAGACGTCATCGATGAACTTACGAAAGGTTTGAGCAGCATTTCTTAAGCCGGAAGACATGCACAAAAACTCGTAAAGACTGGAAGGAGTGATTATAGCAGTTTTAGGAATGTTGTCAGAAGGCATGTGAATTTGGTTATAGACTGTAATCAAGTCGATTTTCAAAATAAACAGTTGTACCTTTCAAGGTATCTGTCAAATCGTGAACCTAAGGCAATGGGTAACGACTAGGAATGATTTTCACATTCATTCGCCGATAGTCACCAGTTGTACGACGGTCGTTGCCTCACTTTTTAGTAGCCATATGCAGATGAGATTCACATGCAGTTTTTGGTAGCCGAACGAGTCCTAAGTATATTGTAAGATCGAATACGTTTAAAGCCAACTTCAGCTTTTCGGGAGCTAGTTGGCGCGCATTTGAGAATATAGGTGACCCTGTAGTCGTGATGTAATGTGTAACATTGCTGGTTAAACATGGCGATTTCTGTTGCGTTTGGTATATCTCAGAGTACTTATCGAGTTACGCAAACAGGTAAATTAGTACTCCTGTTTACCAACTTCCTTTCGTTCATATCTATGAGCAAGTTATGATGTTTTAGCAGGTTCAAACCAAAGATTGACATAAAAACATCTACAGCAACGTAGATCTAATGGATGGGTTTGCGTAAACACACGTTAAGATAAAGATACTGCATACCATATGTGGCGACCGGCTTTTCATTTGCCGTTCGTAAGTTGAAAAGTGCTTCGTGCAGTCGGGCTTTAGAATTCAATGGAAGAACGCTTACTATTGAGTTGACACCAACGAGGTAGCGGACGTTGGTCATCACGCCAGTGATGACTATGTTCGACGGCTAAAGTTGCTGTTAACTCATGTCGACGAGGATATTTCCAAAAAGTTTTCTCGTGTCAGACTGTTTGCAGATTACTGAAACTGCAGGGTTCCCTGCAATTTTAGGGCTTTTAGTGGCCCGTTATCTGACTCTTATTTAGATTGTATGGAAGATGGCTGGGAAGCCAACTCCATTTCAAGCCGGGCATTACTCAATATTTATAGGCAGACAAAATAAACTACAGACATGTGATGAGTCACGGGACATGAAGTGTACACACATACGCTCATATGAAAACAGTCAAGGCTAATAAGCGAATAATTAACAAGGTCAAAATATTACTCAAGCAGAATGAATAGAATGAAATGCCCGAAAACTAGAATAAGATATATTATGGGCTAAAACTTATGTCTAACACTACAGGCTTGCCATAATTATTGTGGTACAGGTATCGACCTGTATTATCTGTTTCTCACGGTTTTGAGACAAGTCTTTTTCATGACGAGCTTCCTTAAGGAATTTAGCAGTGTTTAAGTTATGATGGATATTAGGACAGTGAGTGAAACAGATTTGTGCCATAATTTTGTGTTTTTTAGGCTTCTATTTGACAGAATAAACCTCGGCACTGGATGTTCAGTAGTTTTCGGTATCCAGCCAGCCGATGCAGCCAGTTCGTCTAGGACATTATTTTCAAATAAGACAAGAACCGCCTGCACCTACTTGGGAAGCTCAGACAAGAAAAGCTCTCTGATTAGGCCGTCGTCAAAGTCAGTCGACCAATGACTTCTCGCAGATATAGTAACATTTTTGTTGCTGAGCCATGCTACAGCTCGATGTTGTGGAAAAGTTGGTCTAACCTTTCTTGTTCAAATTGTTTTCGATGTATAAGGTTAGCCTTCTTCAAAGTGTCGTGAGGTTGCGAAACATTAACAATAACATCCCAGGTGTTACGTATCTGTGCCTTCATTATTGCGAGGAGATTTGCACGAGTGTCTATCAATCTGTGCCCACAGAAATCAAATTCTGTGTAGCTGAACCAGTTTTCTATATTGTCGAGCCAGAATCGCATGAGTTCAAAGGTAGGATGCAAAAAAGGTTACATATTAAGTAACTTAGGTGTCCCTCCCTGACTTCAGAAGTTTGAGGACAAACTTATGGGTAACATCCAGAAAGTGGATAAAAAACACGGCAGAACTGACTGTGGACAAACCCTCTTTTAATTAAGAGTAGTCAAGTTCTGAACTACTCCAAACAACCTCCCAGGAGTCCTTCAAGAGGAAACTTGACATATTCTTAAGAGCTACGGTCGTATCTTACCATCACTTACCATATTTTTCTTCTCCTTCTTCTATCGACAATATATTTAGATTCATGCCTGGAGGTATTGATGATTCACTGATACTAGATATAGAGGCCCGTTAAGCGAAAGTTCATTCTATTCCGTCCTAAACCATTCGAACCGAGTAGCGCCTATTTCAACCTTAAAGCTACGCTGATGGGTGGCGATAATTCTAAGCTGGGCTACCGAAATGCAGTTATACAACTCACTACGAAAACCCAAGTATTGCTAACATTTCAGATTACTTATTGATTAGCCTGTTGATTCTAACGATGATAACTTCTGGGACCAATTTTGGGCTGAACATCCAATGTCTATCCAAGATATTTTTGCTCTTATCCCTGCAGCCGAAATCCGAGCTTTAAGAACAGAAGCCCCAAATAATCTAGCTACTTTGTGCTATAAAGCCATTGAGCGTATTGCACAAGTGTCTGAGTCTGCCTCACCAACCACTAAAGACCAAACTACAGGTTAGTTTATCCAAGTTTTATATGTTTTTCAGTTCTTAACTGCATTCGGTTGCTAACCAGGTTATTGCCATTCATATTTGAAGACACCGAATGGCGCTCGTTTTTCTGGTCGCCTCTCCCAGTTGATCCCTCTGTATCCCGAGAAGTACGTTGTCTTAATATTTATCTTATAAAAAAAAACAGCAGGTTGAATTTGTTCCACTTGCTCAAAGTTTACTGTCAGCACTCTGTGTAAGTGGCCTTTTTAAACTCAAACTTCTCTAGGATCTGCTATTCTGTCCAGATTTTACGGTGCATTCCATTTCCAAATCTGGTCCTGTAAGTTTATTCGATGTGTATTGTTTATTCATTGCATTATATTCAATAAGCACATAAAAATTCGAATTCATAGCTGCTTAATGTACGACTAACGATCACTAGTATTCATATTGTCTGGAGCAAGGTTCATTTAGTTCGTTTGATAGTACGCAGCCTTTGTATTTATCATTGTTGTATGTCCTCGGTTTTTGGATTTCAAAGATTTCGTAACATGTCGATGATTTGCAACAAAATGCAAAGACAAACCTATAACCACGATAAACTGTGACGTGATGCTCGCTAATGCTGTATATATCGTAATTTTATTTTTTACCACTTGATACGGAGACTAATTAAGGCTGACAATTCACATAGATGGTTTCATTCTGAAACTGGCTGATTAAGCAACAGTTTCATTTCTTGCCATAATCATTTTCCATCTGAAATCCTATATTTTTTCCAAGTATCCAATGGTTAAACTTCTCATTACCAATTATGTATGTTGAGTCAATTTGCTCCTGTCATTTTCTATCGAAATAATTAAGGGAATTATTTGTTGTTAAATGCACTAAATTCACCATGCCCTTTTCGTAGTACGGCTATCAGTAGTAAGTGGCGTTTTCAGTATGACATTAGTAGTTTAGATCCCGACGTTTTACTTTGAGATTTCAGTTTGTCACTAAAAGTCCCACCAAAGAAATACATCATCCTAGTAAAAGCTTCATATCCGAATACTACTGAACGAGTCAGATTGTAACGTACTGTCACCAAAATATTTGACCTCGAATGTTCGTTAGGGTTTCACACTGTTCTCTTTTTTACATGATTTCGTCATATATGACTTGGTAGTGACTTTTCGTTCAAGATTTTACGGATTGATTTGCCAGAAGGTTCATTTATTGACTTAGAATACCAAAATGAAGTAGCCATAACTAATTAACTTGTGACCACTTTGAACAATGATATAAGCATGTTTGGGATGCGTTTCTCCCTCTAAATTCGAAATATTACTTCAGGACTGGTTGTCATCAATGACTGTACTAGTGATAGGAAGTGAATTAGTGGATTGTTTCAACCACTTCACTTATCTTTGAATTCTCATCAGCCTTGGTGGGTTAGTTTCTAACGAATTCTAAATACTTATTCAGAAAGCTCAATTAACTTCTGTCAACTTGCCCCGACGGGTGATGTCTGATATAGGAGCAGGTTGAAGGAAAACTAGGAGCCGTCGACTTAAGAAAGGGTATCGGTTAGTGGAATTATTGACAATTGGACAGCCACGTTAACAGGTGTAGCCTCATTAGTTTTCCAATATGGACCACATATTTTATGTGACGTGCTGTTTGTTCGGTTACTTTGTTCACCTATATGGTTTGGTTCTATCTTTTTTATTCTCGCTAGGTTCTTTTCCGAAAGGTGACTCGATTCATCCTGACTGAATCTTTGTCACAACACATTTGCGATTGTTATTCTATAGAGCATTCTTATCTATAAACAGAAATGCTGTGACTTGTTTTCTAAAAGTAAACGCTTCTTGAGATATTAATTTCCTTAAAATTAGCTTTGCTGATAAATTGTGTAAATAAATTTCATGATAAGTCTGGTTTATTTTTTGTATTAGAGGCCTCTCAGTAGTATTGCACAATTAATTTCTCATTTTAGGAAGGCCCAGAAGATATGCATACTATTGACAGTTGTGAGTATATCTGGCAGTCTGGTGTGGGATTTGCACAAGCTCCTGCGGTAAACGCCATTCATGATTCTAATCGGACAGAAATTCTCAAACTTATTTTGACTTGTTTCTCTGAAACTATGTATTTGGAACAAGAGGAGGCTCACCGTTCTGAAAATAGATGGGTTACATTTTTCACGAGTACGGTGAATCGTCACGCACTGCCATTATTTGCTTCTTTGTTAAACGTTGTTTGTGCATATGATCCAGTTGGTTTAGGTGTACCATACAATCACATTATGTTTTCTGATTCACGTGAACCTCTAGTCGAGGTAGCTTTACAGGTAAGTTAATAATTTAGTTATCCTTACTTTTCTAAAGTTAATAAAGGGAATTGTACATATGATACTCGTTAATTTACTTAATTAAACAAACAATTTTTAAAAAATCTCTGATGCTTGTGTTAATTCTATAAAAGTTTATGATACTTCGCATTCTATATCTATTCATATTTCAATTATAACTTAGGTTTTCCTAACAGATAAAACGAGAGTGGAAAGTAACTTTATTCCTTAAATCACCCAAATAACATGTTTCTTATGTGTAAATGTGGTTGTCATATAATCAGCCTTATGTCAAAAGGACAGATAAATACATTGTAGTTAAATTGTTTTTTGTATGACTAATGTGTCTTTCTCTGTCATATTTACTTGGAAAACTATATTTGTTCCCCATAGATCCTATGTATAACCTTAGAACCTGATCATATGATATCAAGTCCTACCTATTCGAATGCATCATTTCGTGATTTAAACTCTTCTAACAACCATCCTTGTTCAGACGTTGATGAACAGTTAAGTTTAAATGGTACTGGGATGACTAGTCAAAATAGTGGGAATGGAGATGCATGGAACAACGAAATGAATCTGTTCGTAAATTACATGTCTCGTATACACAGAGATGAGGTTAGTTTTATTTTGATATCATTTTCTTCTAACACACTATTTAGCTATCTGCCTTTTTTACTTGTTTGAGATCATTAGTCAGTCAATGATAATGTTCAATGAATTCTCATGTAGTGTCTTAAAAATAGTACCTTTAGCTATTAGTTATTTTTGAAGTAGTTCACATTTTTGTCAAGCAGGTGTTTTGGCACTTTCTATATACTGTATGAGGTTAACATAAATTTGTAAATTTATGAGCCTTAGTGTGATGCCTTATAAGTTAATGGATCTCTGTCTTAAATCAGGTGTATTCAAATCTCATCATCCAGACTATTGGTAGTTTTATTTTCATAAATTTTTACTAGCTAGTTTGATAATAGTGAAAACTATAATCGGCTGTATCCTTATTCGATATTTATTTTCCAACCAATTAACTTTATTTTTCTATTAATTTCCTACGAACTTAATCAATCTTTTCATGTAAATTGTAAAATCTACAACCATTTAATCACTAGATTTTTTCAACTAGCAAATAAACAGTGTCAAAGTAAGGGCTAAGATTTTTAATGGGGAAAGTAATAATCATTTATCTGTGCCGGTTAAAGTGACTGAGTCCAAAAGCGGTGCGTTTGGCGACATCACTGGTCGACATTTACCCTAATTTCGAGCGTTCTCATCGTTATAGTTAGTCTCCCAAGGCAGCGAAACCAATCCAGAGATTCCTACTAAACGTTGGTGTCTTATTCGTGTGCATATTTCAAAATCCATAAATATGGTCAATTTATTTATTTTTATTTATTTCAACACATAGATAATGGTACAAAGAGGCACCAAATACATATGCGCCACACAAATCTCATTCGATATGTGTGTGAGGGCTGTGATACTGCCCGGGTGCCCAAACCGAAGCAGGTGGTTTTCTTAGGGGACCACACCCCGAGCCTTCGACCTGAGGGTCTGATCCACAAGGCAGTGGAGCATCGTAAGGAGATGCAGTCCCATGGAAGCCGGTGACCAACAATTGGTTCATTCGCCATTTGTTCCCGCAGGATACTGGAGCCCATGTGCACCATTGGTTTGGAATCCGGTTAAAGCGCCGGACATTCGCTTTTCGTCCTCTCATTTTCGTAAACAACACCCCCGCCACGAGAAGGCAGTATATCTTTTAGTATTGTTTGTATCTAGAGTTTATAAGGTCTTTTTGTTGTTAGGATAGGCCGGGATTTCCGACGTTTAATGAGACAAAAGAAGAAATGTTAGAACGTTGCCATCAGCCTTGACACAGAAAGTACTATGGAACTCTACAGGTCAATACGAAATAAGTGCATAATTGAAATTCGAGAAGCTCAGAGAAAATATGAAATGCAGTTGGCACAATCTGCAATCAAGCAGCGTAAAAGACTATTCTCGTACATAAATTACAAAACAAGGATGCAACATTGGATTCTCAACCTAATTAAGGAACGGAGAGGGTCTGAAATGATAGAAGATTAGGAAAAAGAAGAGGCTATGGTTGACTATTTTGGGGCAATTTTCACTCAGGAACCTCTTCTAGACAAAGAACCAGACCAAAATACAGAGTCAACAAACCACCTGCTCACCGTGGACTTCGATGTACTTAAGGCTCTTAGCAGCTTAGACATGGAAAATTCAACAATACAGGATGAACTACACTCCAAAATCCTGAGACAAATCGCAAAATATATTACAGCCCCACTGACTGTGATATTGAATGAATTACTTGACCAAGATGTGTTACCTATGAACTGGAAGGATGTAATCGTCACTCCAATACATAAAACAGGACCAAGACAACTATGGAAATACAGACCTGTCGGCCTCATCAGTGTCGCAGTTAAAATACTAGAAAGAATAGTCAAAACGACCATAATGACATTCGTGGAAACCAATAACTTGTTAAACATTGAACAACATGGTTTCAGAAAAGGCTTATCTTGCACAAAAAAACCTCCTTATAGCAAAAGAGAAATGGGTAAATGCTCTAAACAATGGGAAATCAGTGGAAGTGGTCTACATAGACTTCAGCAAAGCACTCGACAAAGTGCCAACAAATAGGCTGTTATTGAAGCTGGAAAATCTAGGCATTGCCGGGCCTCTCCTAAAATGGCTTAAGGACTTCTTGGTAGGTCGTGGACAGAAAGTAAAAGTAAAATCAAAGTGCTCCACCTGGAGACCAGTACTTTGGGGATAACCACAAGGTTCTGTCCTAGGTCCTTTATTTTTTTGTATTGTACGTAAATGATCTACGTATAGTTGACTCACTAATGTTACTATACTCTAATGACGTAAAAATCCGGCGAGAAATATCAGGAGACGCAGATGCATGTGCACCTCGGATGGACTTAAATATTGAGACTAGCTGGTCTAAAGGGTAGGTGATGCCTGTCAACATGGCAAAGTGTGCCTACATGAGCTTTGGGGATACAAAGGTAAATAGGTAAAGCAAAAGAGAAGTGTGTACTCGTGGCCCGGTTTCACAAGGATCTTGGAGTGACAGTGAGTTGTGATATTAAGACCACGGCCCACTAACAGGAGGTTGCAGCTAAGGGGTTTAGAACCCTATGGGTTTTAAGGCGGATATTCACCAAATTAGATAATACCATGTTCACTGCAGTATACACAACCTCAGTAAGAACTAGGGTTGAAAATTGCATTTAGGCTACAAGCTCCTGTTCAAGAGGTGACTCGGATATCCTGGAAAAAGTACAGAGGGCAGCTACTCGTGCAATTCCAGAACTCCGGGGTTTATCATACAAAGAGTGGCTTGAGAAGCTAAACCTCTTTACACTTTACTATTGCAGATAAAGATTTCGATGTATAGAATACCAGGAAATGATTTTGAACCAGATACACCCTCCCTTTAACTTCTCATTAGATCGGAACATCTCATAAGACATAGCAGGCGAGTAGAAAAGCCAAGAATGGACATATAGGTGTTCACACTGAATCATCAATTCTTGGAACCTGTTACCCAGAGAAGTAGTGTTCGCACCTTCGATTGACTCATTCAAGAGAAAACTAGGCACTCTCAGAAGCTTACTAGAAAAGGAATTACATAGGTCGTAGGCTGATTAATTCCCAGTCCCAAAACAATAAAAATAGTACATGGGTCATGGTGGAAAACAAGCAGCTCGAATGACTTTCTATATTTTCAGTGTAACACTGATCAAGTAAGTATTGATGTGCTTCGATAAATGAGAATTTAGTAAACCAGACACTAGCACTTATTATTTCTAACACAGTTAACTGTGATAGGGAAATTCTACTGCTTCCTAACTCGACAAAATAAATAGACCGGAAAAAGCACATGTTTCTATTAAGAAGTACAGTGTTAGTTATCGAGTTGATTCTTGAAACCAATACGTGACAACAGCTGTTACCAATACCGCGCAAACCTCAAGGTCTAGACGGTTCAAAAAAAAAAAAATATGGTCAATAACAATCATGTTAGCAATATAGAGATTAGCTCTTACAGTAGTTCATTCGTACTACATAAGTCATAACATTTATTATTTGAAGTATTAACAGTATAATATTATTAACTAAGTTCAGTTAAGAAACAGTAAAGTTACCCACATCTCATGTCTTATTTTAAAAAATTGTATTGGTCAGTGTGTAGTGTATTCAGTATTTCGAAGTATACTCAAATATGTCATTTCGTCCAAATCATAATCACGTTAGGTTATGTTGCTTTTTGATCTGAGTAGAATAGGTTAAAGGTTCTAGCTTTGAAAATTGTGTATCCTGTCATATTACAACGTTTCATTGTTTCCACTCATGAATCGTCTAAATTATTTCTTGATCTTTCTAGACACAAAATTAACAATCCTATTTTTTGTAACTTTGAAATTTTTTCTATTTTTATTTTTACTGTGGGTTACAGAAAGGTATAAATCAATTTTGCACACGTTCAAAAATAAAAATCTCTCTTGACTATAAATTATTACTTAACTTCTTTATATTCTAAGATCACCAAAATTTTTGCCTTAATAGTTTTTTTATCAGTATGGGCTTGTGGAGGTTACTAGTTGTTTTCGAGATCACGAACGTATTTAAATTAAACAAACGATAAACACCTGGAAGCACTGAACAGCAATATTACTGGCTTATTGAAGTCTGATTTTGGCTGTAATCTACAGGTTAAAAATTCACATACGAGACTGATGGTCCTAGGTTTTGTCCTGATGTGGAGCTCATATGTGCTCGCTACTGAGGGGTCTCACACTAAGATGCATCATATGTCTAGTGCTTCCAGGTTAACATTAATTGTCTAACTTGGGTCGATTAGATATCTCAATAACAATTGTTTTTATTAACTAATCTGCTTAGACTCCTGATGTAGTGAACAAGAACACGGGTGGGGACAATCGAATGTATTTAGCACAACAATTACAGACTATCTCAACAAAATCTGAATACCATTTAGTAAATCGTCAATTTGCAAAATATTCATGCATCAAATCAAACTGGTCTGTTTCTGTTGCAAACACTAATCCATTGTCTCCCATTCCATTGTTCATGAGTTTTCTTACAAATTCCATTATGTTCTCGCTCTACCTTTCTTGATCTTCGCCATCTTCTGCTGCCAGACATTACGTTCTTTTAACGCACGTTGTATACTACTTATATCAATATAAGTAGCTCACACCACACTGACATCGAGCTGTTGTTAACTGTTAACCTTTTTGCTTAAAATTCCACACCTTTCAGTACACGAGATTACAGCCAGTTAGATAAGACTAAAAACTATGTTTGCAAAACGTGTTATTTCAGTAGTACTCGTAAGAATAAATTATAGTTATTTATGTAAATTTACCTGACCCATATGGTACCTTATAGGAAGTACTCTTAAAATTCCTGAGGATTCAATCTCTCAGATCCCCAGTCTTCTTTTAATAGTCGATTCCAGCTTGTACATCTTATTAGTTTTTAAGGTTTCTACATAAATGGTAAACTTCTTTGCTTTCAGTAAGTCAGATTAAAAGTTGTTAAACTTGCTGCAGGGTGAATAATTATATACGGTTATAGTTGCTGGTAATGTAGGTTCGTCACTTGGAAGGCGAAGGGATTGGGCATTAGTAAACGTTTTATTAGGTTCACAATCGAAATACGCATAGCAACTGAAAATGAAAATATTTTATCGTATCTTCACAGTGTGCCAGGGTTTGGTATAGTTTAAGCAGAGTTGATAACTAAATTTTTCGTCGACTTAGTCGTCAAAGAATTTGAGTTTGAATCGTCAAACAGTTACACTAACCCTGGCAAAAAATACATTGCTTTAAACCGGGTAAAATAGTAGTACAATTCATTTTTAAGTACAAGTTGATGCACTCGTTCTTATATAATGTTTTTAGTATATTATGTTTTTCATTACCACCTAGTTGTCTAAACCGTAGCCGTCGAATTTGAATTTGCACTCACAATACAACAGTTTAGAACTTAGCATTTACTCGGTTGGATATTTCGAATTGATTATAGGATGAAATCGTACTTTTTTACTAAGTGCAACATCCTCTATTCAGATGTACAGTTTCTGGTGTAATAATATGTTTTTAACCTCTTCATGGTAGCCAGATATCAGTATTTCTTAAGGTGGGCGTAGATTATGAAGGGAACTAGGTCGTATAGTTGAAGTTCTTAGGTTTCCTACAAATCAAATATTCGTTCATTCCTTATCTCCATTTATTTAATATTATAAACACTATTCCATTCAATACTTATCTGGTGCTTATCGACTTAGAGTTGTTCACAATGACCCTTTATCTTACTCTATATTGAATTTCAATTTTCTCACACACACACACACTTTTCTACAATATCTTTTGGAACAATATTCTCAATGCTTAATCTTTCTCATCGTAACATCTACATTATCTTGATCTTTTTTGTTATTCACCTTGTCTTGCTTATATTGTATGGCAGTTTGGACTAACCCATGTTTGTCCCAATGCTTAGGTGAATGATGTCTGATTGACTGTTTCTCATCTAATTATTCACGAATTCTTGTTTGTTTTAAAATTTATCGCTTGTTTTATTAAATTCTTCAGAAAAAGGGGAAAAATGAGACTGTGTCGTTAATGGTTGTAAGTAGACGGTGGGAAATTCTGGATCTAGGTTTCGTGCCTTTTGGTACTTGTCATCAAGATTTATCTGTAATCTTGAGGGAGATAGTACTCGATTGTGTCATTTGTTTGTCAGTTTATTTGCCTTTTGCCTTAGCCATACTATGATTTTACTTTTCTCAATATAAAAATATTCAGATAGGGGTTTTGTGGATATTATAGTAATTTAATTCTTGAATTCTTGAGTCAATTAGAGCTAGTCCACCATGGAAAACCTGGAAGCACTAGACGGCCGTTTCGTCCTAGTATGGAATTCCTCATCAGTGCGTGTCCACGATCCCACCTCGCGAGATTCGACTCAAGACTGATAGATCCTAAGTTCGAGCCTCTCGAGGCAGGATCGTGGATATGCACTGCTGAGAAGCTCCATACTAGGATGAAACGGCCGTCCAGTGCTTTTACTTTTTCAATGGTGGTCTAGTTTCACTTGACTCATGAATTCAATAATTAAAATAGAAATATTCGTTAGTTCGGGGTTCTTCGAGATTGTTGAATGTCACTGAGTTCACAAACCTGCCTGGTTTAGACAACCGTTGAAAACGTAAAAGCACTAAATGATTATTGCACCTAGTATGAGGCTCATTACCCCTACCACAAGTTACTGAACCCGTGCAAACACTTAACCTGTAAACCACAGCCGAAATTCAATGGTATACATGTCTAACTTAGAAATATTCGTACTCACATGCCTTAAAGTCTATCAAAATTAAGATTTTCGGATTAGTTATTTCTACCTTTTCTCTTCTTTTCTTTTTAAAAGGATTTCGCATTTATTCTCTCTGGAATAACTCGCTTATTAAATAATCCATTAGTACAAACATACCTTCCTGGATCCAGCAAAAAAGTTCAAATGCATCAGGAACTTTTAGTGCTCTTTTGGCGAATATGCGAATGCAATAAGAAATTTATGTATTATGTGTTAAAATCGAGTCAAGTATTAGATTTACTTGTACCTATACTCTATCATCTTAATAATTCTCGTAATGACCAATGTAAGTTGGTTTTTTCTTCATTGAGGGACGTATACCATTATTACTACTATTATTCTAAGAAAATGTATAGCTTGTTTAAACATGAATTAATTCATCAAGTTATTGAATACTAAATGCCTTTTTAGTATCTTCATTATACTTAAATCATGAATTACATACATAACTCAAAGAAGATAACTTTTCTAATCGATTTAAAATGATGTTGACTTGTATTTGATATACTTATCGTTTTCATTGTCATCTTCGCTAATATTGTTTACTTGATATATATACTTTTTTGTTTTCGAACGCATACTGGATACTATCTTGTTCAATCTTTGATTTCATTATGTTCTTTTAAATTATTTGACACTATTCAATAAAACTAACAGTATTACAACAATCTACAGTATACTAAAATGGTTAACAAGTGACTGTCAGGGTATATTTGTTATCTTCCCTTTTTTGATGTGAGAAAAAATAAGTACATCTAGTAAGGTCTTTACAAGTATATTCTGAAGTTCATGAAATTTTACGAAGGGATGTTTATTTATCTATTTATTTATTTGAACACATAAATATTGGTACAAGAGGGCCCCAGATATGTATGCGCCACACCATATTTGTGTGTGTGGGCTGTGATACTTCCCGGGTGCCCAGACCGAAACAGGTGGTTTTCTTAGGGGGCCACACCCCGAACCCTTAACCTAAAGGTTTGATCCACAAGGCAGTGGAGCAGTCCCATGGTAGCCGGTGACCAACGATTGGTTCATACGCTATTTGTTCCCTCAGGATACTGGAGCCAGCCCATGCGCACCGTTGGTTTGGAACCAGGGTTTTCCAACTCCCCTAAGTGGACTCTCTATGTTCACCAACCCGGTTAAAGCGCCGGACATTCTATTTTCGTCCTCTCATTTTCGTAAACAACACCCCCGCCACGAGAAGGCAGTGAATAGGACTTACCTGGCAGAGGCTGTATACGCGTGGCCATGTGAAAGCACTTCGAGAGGGAGGGAGGACCCACCCCACTCTCTCGAAGGGATATCTTCTCAGTGGATTTAGTACCATTAGATACTTTCGTTGAATTTTATGTTTTCGATGTTTTAGTCAAAATTATATTGAAAGACGAATGTAATACATTTTATTACAATTCGAAGTTCGCATAAAATTCCCTATAAATCCATTTCTGAACAATACATATTTCAATAATCAAACTATTTATTTTCTACCACTAAATTAAAATTAGTTTTGAATGAATTTTCAACCTCTCACAAACAAACAAAAATTATTATTTGGAAATTCTGGATACTTAAGATAACTTTTGAATCTTATCTATTCCATAATTCATCTTATGGAAATTTGAGTTGAATATTTTTGTGCTGAAGTTTGCTGCGTTACTAGTTTTCGTTTACTTAACACTTAAAAGAACTCTGTCATCATTTTGGTTCGCTTATATTTTAGTATAATATTTTGATACAAAATCTTCAAGGGCGTTGTGAATATAGTTATCTGCGCGAGTTCTACACTATAGGATCCTACTTCTTATGGGTGTAATGAATTTTCTGGTAGAAACTCGGATTCTGTCTGTTATTATCGAGCAAGGAATAGGAGAATAGGGAGAACTCTTGTCCATTGCATTGAAGTCGGAGTTGAGAATTTTTAGTTTGAGACATAGATATTTTAGTTATCGATTCAAGTTAAAGAACGTAAACGACACCAGTTATGTAAAAAGAATTACTTGGAGGGTAAGTGTAGTAGTAGTACCATTAAAGTGACTGTTTAGTGGTTAAAGCACTTAATTTTCAGTCAATAAATCACACTTTAGAAACCTATTCTATTTACATCAAATCAGTTAGCTGGCTATAATCGTTCGATATCACAAAGAAATGTGACGTAAAGCCGAGTATATGAATCTGTACTTTTTAAATGTGCCGTTCGTATCCATTAGTTAAAATTTGTTATTAGCTTCCTAAAATCATGGGTACTGTTATGACAGAAATATGGATGGAACTTTTCAGACCATTATTATTATTATTATTATTATTATTATTATTATTATTATTATTATTATTATTATTATTATTATTATTATTATTATTTACATTCTTATCATATCTTTAGTAGAAAACTGTATTATTGTATTTCTATGTTCTCTTCATTGTAAGCTTCCAAGGCGACCTATTAACTGTCGTTATACGTTAAACTGTCCGTAGTTATTGCTAATTAGTTGTGTACTGTTTGTTCCGTCTTCTTTCACTTATGGTATGATTGTGTCTATAGTGCGATTCCTTATTTGGTGTACTGTGTGATCTAATAATTCGTGTATATAAGCTAATGGATGTTTGAGATAGTTGTTGCTTAGTCTGGATTGTTGAAATGCACACATTGTTTGAAGCTAGTTGTTGACTTCTCTTCAGACGCAAGACGATGGATTGAGGAAAGTTTTTGTACAGCGGAACGGTAGGAGTGTGGCTTGCGTTGGCTCAAGATTAACTGTTCAGGTCCGAATGTATAGTCGGTCGCTAGGCTATATAAATGGAGTGTTGACTCGTGATAAAAAAATTATAGAATTCTGACTGGTGAATTTAGCACGTGATATCGATTACTGTCTTAATTCGTTACAAGTATTTCAACAACACTAGATTTCTCTATACTGTTTAATTTAGTGACTACTAATTACCAGGTTGGGGGTGAAGTTAGGGTCGGCGACCTAATGATTATAGGTTATTTAATCTGACTATTGGTTTTTCCATTTACCAATTTTTCGTTACACTGTTGCACATTAGGATCAGTAACTGATTCTATTTAATAGCTGTCACATTTCTTTTAAGCAGTCATTTTTACGTTTTCTGTTCTTCTGAATTAACTCAATAACAATTCAACGTTAAACATCAATGTAGCCTAGTTGTTTAGTATCGCGAATTTTATCTGATGTTATTGTTTACGTTACATTACAATTTGTCTATTATTACATCGTTTCAGAAACTTTACAGTATAAAACTCTGTGTATGTTCATACATTTTGTTCCTATTTATTTCGATTTCTACAATCAATGATGTGCACCACTTTCAAACACATTCACATCTTGTTATGATTATTTAATTTATATTTTCATCATAATATTCTTGGTTTATTTTTCTCTCAGCTCGTATAGGATTAATACACGTTGGTGTATTCATCTTATTATTACTTAGCGGTGAAAGAAATTTTGGTGTGCGTTTAAATAAACCTTATCGTCATCGTTCCTTGTTAGATGTTCCAGTGTTTACAGGAACACATGCTGATTTATTAATCATAGTATGTAATTAGTTATTAGTGTTATTATAATCTTTTATTTGTTTTAAAAATACATTTTTTGATTCATTTACTTGTAACTTTATAGTAGGATATTGAAAGCGAATTCCCTACTCATTGAATTGGTTCTCACCAATTTTGTTTTGTAAACTTAATTATCACTTCTTTTTCTGTATATGGTTCATTTAATATAATACTTGAATTCATTAAATAAATCACGAGTTCCCTTGCATTAATATATCTACCTACTTGTATATCGTTAATTAGATTGTAGAGTATTCACTTTCTATAAATAAGCAGATCTTTGACAGTGACCTTTGTAATTAATCGTTTAGTAGGGATATATATATATATATATATATATATATATATATATATATATATATATATATATATATATATATATTACATTATGGACTGAATCTAGCTAGACCATTTATCAATGAGGAGACATTGGACATCTGTTCCATCCTTGAATGAACCATTTTCTGAATGTAGACTAACAACCTCTTCAGAATATGAGCCCAGGGTTTCCTTTGGTTCTGATAGTCATATATAGTAACCAGAAGAGTTCACTTGTGTCAAGGCAACCACCAGTAAATAATGACCACTCAATGTTGTGAATCGAAAGAAAATAAAATTCTGAACGATTGAATGGCAACTTACTGGCTTATAAGTAATCCACACCTTTGTCGCAAAGTATAAAGGTCTCAATTTCTATCTTCTACATGACTATGGGTACACGCAGCTATACAGTTCCATATTACGACAAAATATTTAAATGTCGCTAGATTTTATTGGTCCTTCAATACCATATATACATGTAATCCAGCGCATCATGTAAGTTGGGCTTTAATCTTCATTCACGACAAAGTTCAGTTATATTCACCTACTGATCTTATTGTTTATTTATTTGAACACATAAATATTGGTACAAAAGGGCACCGAATATATACGCACTACACAACTCACTTGATTTATGTGTGGGCTGTGATACTGCCCGAGTGCCCAAACAGAAGCAAGTAGCTTTTTTAGGGGGCCACACCCGAGGCCTTCTACCTCAAGGTCTGATCCACAAGGTGGTGGAGCAACGTTAGGAGATGCAGTCCCATGGTAGCCGGTGACCAACGATTGGTTCATACGCTGTTTATTCCCTCAGGGTATTGGAGCCCATGTACATCACTGGTTTGGAACCAGGGTTTTCCAACTCCCCTAGGTGGACCCTCTGTGTCCACCAACCAGGTTAAAACGCTGACTGTTCGGTTTTCGTTCTCTCATTTTTTTAAACAACACCCTCGCCTGGAGAAGACATTGAGTAGGACTTCCCTGACAGTGGCTGTATACGCGTTGCCATGTGAGAGCATTTCGAGAGGGGGAATTGACTCTCCCCACCCTCGGCCATATCAGGGCATTTGGGGGCCACCTACTGATCACTAATGTTTATAGGATCTAGAAGCTTGTACTGATGAACAAATCAATATTGTCAGTTATAGAAATACATATAATAATCGTCGTCTGTTCACTAACAATCCCTTTTTACTACAATTTACAGCATCTTTGTTACTTGTAAATTATAATCATCATCATTTAATATCCTGTCGATTTTTATTTTGTTGTACCGGTTGTTTTTGGCCACTTGGCAATTGGTTTTCTCCAAACTTTATAGAATCCATGATTGGTTATTATTATTATCATTATTATTATTATTTTGTTATTCTAGGTTTCTCATAGATTAATTACAAGCGGACATAATCGTCTAAATCCTTTATTCGATTGCTTGCTAACAATCATGGCTAATGGTAAGCCATCATATACTTTTTTTTTATTAAGCTTGATAATTTACTATATATTTACCCAATCAGTGTAAGGATCCTTTGTGTTGATTCGTCGATTGTGATGTTCATTTTTTTCTAACCGTTTAATTAGATCATATGTCATTGTCATACCATTAAATTTATTGTTTACAGAATAGACAGACAATTGTTTAAATGTTTGCATTGTCTTTATGTATAGGGTCTGTTGGTCAATCGAAAATTCCTCATGTTAAATTTGCTTTACCATACCACATTTTTATTTTGCAAAACGAACAAAACCACATTTTATACCGTGTATGCTTCAAGGTTACAGGTTAAGTATCGATGAAAAATACAGACTAGTGGCGTCATCATGAATACTATCAATCAGGAGGACGTAATAAGCTAATTTTAATACGTTAGAGTGTTAAGGGTGACGCTGATTTGAAATTGTAGACGTGAAGCAGTCGTATGACAATCCCAAACAATATGACACATCGATATTATTTAGCGTTTCGGTAAAAGAAATCAATTGTAAGCAATGATTTTCCCCTTTGTCAACTGGAAACTTGGATAAATCATGTTACTTATATTACACTGAGTAAGTGGAACTCGACTATCTACTTCAAAGCGAGTTTGGTAGATGCTTCGTGCACTGCAAAGAAATCTACTCCTGAATTTTGACACAGCTACCATTATCTCTTGCTTATACGTGGAAAGTTGTTGAAATAGTTAAGAGTCATATAAAATCTGTTCATGACCGTTAAAAAGCTGTCAAGGATAGTCTGAAGTAATATCCTGTACTTATATGCCATGATTTTAAATGATATGATTTGCCTTAAACTTAGTCATTTTTGAATAACTTAGATGCAAATCTGTAAAATCTCATAGTTTATCGAGTAGAATATCTGCATCTATTTCATGTGGGTCGGTTTTTCACCGAACGTTCTTCGACTTCAAGACAGACGAATAAAACAGCCATTTTTTTAATTGCTCAATAATTATATATATATTCTCTATTCTGATTGACTATAAGCTATGAAAACTTGCTCTACTGCCATTTAATAGCAGTAGCTCAAGATGATCTTTTGTCTTATGCGTAAGTAAGTTACTAAAGTGAGCCAGACAACTATAAACAACATATGAACCTGACAAAACTGTTTCGGTACAAGTTGATGCACCATATTAGCACAACTTGATGAAATCTTTAAGAAAAATGTTTTGCAATGGTAGTAGCATCAAGATTAGTGGTCGTAGAAAACATTACGTATAAACAATGTGATTCGAGAAGAAAACGTGAATTTGTTGAATAAAAGTTAAAGATTATTTCGAAACTCAAAATCTAGAGGAAAAGTGAATACATCTACGCCGTTCCAACTAATTATAAGCAATATAATTCAACGCCTCCAATCACTGGTCACTACCATCGTACGATCCTGAACCTAGTCCGTACAAGCGAAATTTACCACATTCTCAAGCGTTTAAGCGGAATAGGTTACTGGCTAGCAGTGAAATTCAAGATGCGCGTTCCACCATACTTGGGACTTGTCAGCTGGATGTTCATGGGTCCCAGTTTTGATGTTCAAATAAAAACTCAAACCTAACACTTTTCGCTTCTAACTCCCACCTCGTTATCCACTTAGCAACGAAGTCCAGACAGCCATTTATTTGTGCAACTGGGTAAATCTAATTCGTCTTATTGGTTGGTCAAACGAAACTGATCAACTGCAGTCCATAACATTGACAGAAAGTTTCAGGCAACCAAGATAAATGAAATTACCACAATCTCTTCATTACAAATTTCACGATTGTTTTCTCCACCGTTTATTCGCAACTTATTGAAGTAGTTAATGTATCCTGCTCCACTTGTATGTTTATTTTCTCTCAAAATTTTTTCTCCCCTAACTAGTTTCACCTTACTTGAAAAGTTTATCAATGGTCTCATCAAACAAAATATTACATTTATTGGATGCATTCAGTCAGCCATGGTTTTTGTACAGTAATCCATCAAATCATCAGTTGGTTTTTCTGTTATTAGAAGTATTCAATAATATTATTCAATATCAATTTGATGGTAAGCATGTTTGGATTATCTATCCTCATTTTCTTTGTTTACCATTTAGTTTATCGTTAGTTTTATAGAGCAGCAGTTTAGTGGCTAAAGCATCTGACTTTCAACCAGCAAGTTACGGGTTCGAACCCTGTTGTGTCAATTTTTTCTGCATTATTATCTCTCAGATGTAATTTTTCATGAATTATGCTTTGATCCAATTTGTCCTGCTAATAACTGTAAATACAATATACTCTCTTATCTGTTAAATGATATTACCAATAATTGGCCTGCTTAATCCGCTAATTTCCATTACTTTTTCGAAAAAACTCACTGTTATGTTCTGATGTTTAGTCTTCTCTGGTCATAACACCACTCGACTGTCCCCAAATCAGAACAAAAGTTGTAAGCGAGCAAATACATTTTGCAACAAACCTGAACAATGGGAATACAGTAGCAAAAATGTTTGAGTCGGTAACGAATTTACGTATGCATCTTTTAAGTTGTCGATTCATTTACTGGCGCTCTTTGATTAAAAATAGACTGGTCAGCTTTTCCTACTTTTAGCCTGACCAGATAATGCAGTATTTAGGACTTTTTACCAACCCTAACCAAGTACAAGTTTATATACTTTTTCTGGAGATGTAGTTTTAGGTGTGAGGGCTGGTGATACCATTTAGCTGTCCATACCAAACTGGGTGAATAATTGTTCGATTCTACAACTTAGCTGTGTCTGTAAGCTGAGTCCTTATATCACTAGATCACCTTTGTCAGTATATGGTATTTAATTTTGTGCAAATTCCTCAGTACCTCTGTACGTTAGTAACACATGATTAAACTGTGATATTCGGGTTGTAAATATCGTGAATGATACCTAGTTCTCTCGAAAATTACCCTCTCTTAAGATTTATTTATAATTATGAATTTTTTTGGAACATTGACTAAGTGGTTTAGACATTCGGCTTTGAGCCAAATATCAGGTTCCAACTCCACTCCACCCTCTTTGTTTTGTTCAGCCGGTTAGAATCATTACACGTTGCACTGAGAGTGTAGCTTAAAGCTAATTACATAAATATGTAAGCGAGTTAATAATCTAATTAATTCAGTGATCCAGTTATTGTCAACTATTAAATTTGTAGAACTTAAGCTTCATATTTTCGAAATACTTATCGTCTGCATATATATATGTCTGGATTTCATTGTGCCAGCAATCATTTCTTTTGTAAGATAAATTTCACAAACGTTAACTTTCTTCTAACCAATCGAGTATTTTTCTCGTATTCACATCAAATGAGTTCTCGCTTTGCGATTATTTTATCGCATAAACCTTGTTTGAATTCCGCTTTATATCTTATTTTTCCTTTTCTATCTCTTTCCAGGTAATAGCAATTTAGTATATACTTTAATAAGGAAACGTCAAATATTTTATCGGCTAGCTAATTTACCCACTGATCAACCTACTATTCATAGTATAATTAATAAACGAATGAAATCTGAAAGCAGTGGTCATATTACAATAGAATCTACTACTACTGTTCCTTCTAGTACTTCATCTCGAACATCTCCTGTTGACACTTCTGTTTGTAAACCTTTACCAATATCGGAAATACCAAAATCGTCGTCTACTTCCACTTGTTTATCTGTTGAATCATCTGTTTATCATAATGACGATAATGATAATGTTGGTAATGGTAATGTTGACAATTCAAGTATTGCCGAGTCCATGGATCAAGTATCTTCTCGGGTTTGTTTTGTTTCGTTTATGTGTATAGAGTATGTTTCTATTGATTTTGTACACAAGATCTTCATCGGCAGTTATTTATAAGTTCTCAACAGACCCTCAATCAATCTAGCTTTCTTCTAGTTGGAAATGTCAGTTTCAATTGAGAAAAATAAAAAACGGATAACAAATTCATCTCAATGTATATGTTGATCAGTGGCATCTAAACTGTCGATGCTTATGTATAAATTCCAAGAACAACTGAGATCACACTTAGGCAATTTTAAAAATGAGACTGACCGAGATGTTGATTAGAATGATATACTAACAGCTGTAGAAACAGCGGCGACATCTATTAGTGATTTAAACCAAAGGGTTACGAAACATCAGTGGATTTCTGCAACATCTCTTGCACTGATAGACTCTCGTAAACTTATCCCATCAGGATCTGAACACGATGAAGAGCGAAAACAGATCAGATCTAAGTTAACTAAAAGTCTACAGAACGATCGTGAGCAGTGATAGACAACGATAGCAAAAGTGACGGAACCGGCAGCGACTGTATGTAACACCAGACAGCTTTTCAGACTAATAAAAGAAACTGGAATTAAGATGTCGAGTGTAAGTGAGACGATCTCGGAAAAGGATGACACCCTTATTTGCTCTCAGCTCAGACGTTTAGAACGATGTGTGAAACACTTTAAGGAGCAGTTTAGCTGACCTTCAGCTACTCCACAACTACTCACTATTCTCATACAGCCTGAATGAAACATTGAAGTGACCCTCCTGACCCTAATTGAAGTTCAAAAAGTCATAGCTAATCAGAAACGAGGAAGAGCAGCTTGTCCATATTGATTAACTACAGAGGTTTTTAAGGATAATGGTCTAGTTTTAGCGATTAGGTTGACTAATATTGTAGCTAAAATATGGGAGTTGGATGTGATCCCATCTGATTGGTCGCAACAACTAATCGTCTCAATATATAAGAAAGGATCATCCTGTGATAACCACAAAGGGATTAGTTTTTACTAATGTAGCATCTAAAATACTAGCCTCAATAAATATCGTACGCTTAACGAAAGACTCTTGAAACGCAAACACGAGAAATTCAGGCTAGTTTCAGACCTTAACGTGACTGCATCGACTACATATTTATCATTCACCAGGTTCTAGAACACAGATATGCTTATCGGCGTCCGACAATGATAGTTTTTCTTGACCTAAAAACAGCATTTGACTCTGTAGATCGAGAGTTTTTGTTGTAGTGTCTGTCTGTAACCTCAAGTAGTGCCTGGCAAGACTGTCCACTATCCCCCTTTCTGTTTAATCTTATCTGAGACCTACTGCTGGAAATAACGTTCTTGTCAACTGAATTTTCGGGAATCTTTCTCCTACCAGGAGGTCCATTTATTGGCTTAGAATACACAGACAACGTAGTCCTGTTTGGTGAAGATGCAGTCTTTTAGTAGCACTGAGCAACAATGCCAGGATGTTTGGAATGTGTCCCCCCACTTTAAATGCAGATTTTTGCTTCAGGACTGACCTGAACCAAGGATAGGAAGTGAAATAGTCGAACGCGTTGACAACTTCACTTATCTTGGAAATCTGATCAGTCCTAATGGGTTGGTGTCTGATGAAACCTCAGCACAGATTCAAAAAGCTCGTTTGTCTTTTGCCAACTTACGTCATCTATATCGAAGGCGAGATATCTGTCTACCAACTAAGTGACGAGTATACTGCGCTGCAGTTCGTTCTGTTGTACATAACGGCTGTGAACCATGACCTTTAAGAGTAGAAGATACACGTACTTGTTAAGTATTTGATCATAGATGTCTTAGAAATACTGCTCGTATCCTCTGAGATCACTGGGTATGTAATAGTGAGGTTAGACGTAGGGCATTTGGGAATGATAGTAAGTCAGTTGATGAGGTTGTGTTTTCATCGCCTGAGATGGTTGGGTCATGTGTTACGCATGTCCGACCACCGATTACGAGGGCGTGCAATGCTTACTAGTATTGGAGACGGATGGAAGAAGTTAGGAGAGGACAAACCAAAACGTGACATTAGTCCCGGAAGTCACTAACTTGTTGTCTGAGCCATACCGGTAGGTGAAAACTACTTGGTTTGGGTTCGCGTGACTATCGTAACCAAAGGTTGGAGTGACATGGCTCAGAATCGATCACAATGTCGTTTATCTTTATGATTACTTACTGTATGATATTAAGTACTTTTCCATCCAGATATATAATTTTACTGTCTAAGTATTACTCATAGTAAAAATAATCGCTTTATTCAAGATTATATGTTTAGTTCAATTTTGGATTTCCAACATCTTGGCGGTCTGTTACGCAACCAAGCAAGGGCATGAAAAATTTGATCTCCAAGTAATTCAAAAAAGACTGTGACACATTCTCATATCAACCAGTTGCGGGTTATTAATTGACCATGTAATGACTGAAATCTTACAAAGTTCAGCACCTTACAATCTCAAAGTTTACACTACAATTATAGCTTTCCCTATCTTCTTCTTCCAATGTTCTGTATAGGTGACGGCGTCATATATCACCTTCTCCTGGAACACCTGCGAAATGCTACGTGCCTCATCGTAAAACAGTCCAGAAATTAGCTTTACATCCACGGCAAGCTAAATGTCGGATAGTAGTCTTTTTAATAATCTAAGTTTTGTTACGTAAAATGTTACAATATCATTTAGCTCCTCCTTTGTTCAAAGCTTTAGTACTTTTTTGAACGATCAGATATGATTTAAACCTAAGTACAATTCGACTTGTAAATACTAAACTATAGAAAGTATTTTCTTAAACAAACATTTATTGCTTCAAGCTTTCATAATTTTATTTTTCGATGATATCGTCCTTTGAAAATATTCTTTTTTTCACTTTTTTCTAATCAAGTTGAATGAGCTAAGTGTTGGTAAACCTGGCGATTCGATTCAAGCCAGTCTAGCTGATGTTCCTCCATTGCATAAAATGACAGGTAAACGTTTAGGCAATGCTACTCAATTAGATGAACGTTTCTCAAATTATCATTCAGAAATCGAGAATAATTTAATATCACATTCTTCACCTAATCAGCGTATTCCAGTGGATAGTAATAATAATAATAATGGTAATAATAACAATGAATCTGATAAAGATTTAACAATACATAATGTTCAAGAATACCCAATAAATAGATCTGGAATTTCAGAGAGTTCTGTAAGTTATTCACTTTTTCTATCTGAAAAAAAAGTTTTTTGTAGGTTTTATTTGTTTTTGTGTGATTCTGCAGCGATCATGAAAAGTAGTCTGAATATCTCTCTTTTTTTAATTCGGTTATCAATTAGTCCATATATATTGACTGTAGGACTGATGACATTTTAAGTACCGATTGACATATCGACTAATGAAAGCTAGTCAAGATGTTAACGTTTATCGATCCTCAAGAACCTTCTAACGTAATAGCCATTCAGAATCGAATACCTCAAGTGGTGTTCGTCAGGGCTGTCTACTCTTTCCATTCGTGTTTAACTTTGTCGTTGACGTGCTTTTAGAGATAACACTTTCCTCGTCTAAATTTCCAAGAGTTAAACTTTTACTGGGAGATTCACTTGTTGACTTAGAATATGCCGATGACATAGTTCTGTTTGGTGAAGAGGATGACGAAATGCAGTCTTCTGACCACTCTAAACAACAATGCAAGCATGTTCGGGATACGATTCTCCCTCTCGAAATGCAAGATGTTGCTTCAGGATTGGGTTGCATCGACACCCGAACTAATGATAGGGAGTGAAGTAGTTGAGCGTGTCGACCGCTTCACTTATCTTGGGAGTCTCACCAGCCCTTGCGGTCTGGTGTGTGACGAAATCTCAGCACGGACACAGAAGGCTCGACTAGCTTTTGCCGACTTGCGTCATTTATGGCGTAGGCGAGGTATCCGTTTATCAACCAAAGGACGGGTTTACTGCGCATCAGTTCGTTCCGTCCTATTTTATGGCAGTGAAACATGGCCGGTAAGAGTAGAGGATATTCGTAGTTTACTAGTATTCGACCATTGGTATCTTCGAAACATTGCTCGTATATCCTGGGACCACCGAGTAAGTAATGCAGTTGTTAGGAAAGGGGTACTAGTTAAGGATGGTGAATTAATTGATGAAGTGGTAAAACTTCATCAGTTGAGATGGCTAAAACACGTGTTACGTATGCCCAACCACCGACTGCCCTAACGTGCGATGTTTTCTGGTTTAGGAGTAGATAGGAAGAAAGCTAGGGGTGGCCAGATCAAAACATTGCACAAATCCATGAAGTCACTGACAAGTGGACTGAGCCATGTTGGTAGGTGCAAAGTACCTGGTTGGGATCTGCGAGACGATAGCAACCGATAGTTATGGACCTTGAATGGCATGGCTCAAAATTGTTTGCCATGATACAGGTTCATCCACTCTTTGTGTTCTCGCGCTTTCTAATCTTCTAAATTCTCCATGTCTTTTTTTTCCTCCTTCAAAATTTATTTCACTGGATTTTAATCTTTGAATAACATCTTCAAACCCTAGTGTTTCCGATTACTGCTTATACTCTTACTACTTCTACCACTGTGGGATTTGAATCGACTGCATCTCTGTGCTAATGTGGTATGGCAACTCGAACTGATGTACGTCCGTACAAAGTTCTACGTTGTTGCTGACTGAATGTTCATCCAGAAGACAAGGGTAGAAAGCCGATCAGTTCTCTGTTGTACTCGATTTAATCATACCTGCTATATCTGACCACATAACAACATACTTAAGGAATTACAATGTGTACATAGCTTGGTCATAAATGATATAAAACCAGAGCAAATGAAAAATAGTTGAGTAATGATAAATTTGGAACAATAAGATGCATGACTCCGATTTATAGGTCAAATGAAATCTTAGAAATAGAAGAATATAAAAATACAACAGTTTAGCGTCTATTAATTAAGCAATCAAAATATAAGTGGTAATTCTTCATACGTTACTCTCACGAGTTGTAATTTCACACTACTCGTCTCATTATACCAGTCTCTCTGGTGTTAATTTATAAAATGTCAATCCATGTTATCAATTGAATATAGATGGTATCATTAACAATAGTTCATTAGTCCTTTAACGCATAATATTTGAGTGTTGATATATGTGAAGTGTAAAAACAAACTTCGGTTCGAATTGTCTATTCATATTTCCTGACACCGTTAAATTCACAGCCTATCAATAACTTTGCTAGCGTTTTTGAGCTAGTTGGCAAGAAACTCTACACCTAAGTTCTCTGTAGCAGGTGGCAACCATCATCGAAGTGTGTTTGCAATCTTAAGAGAACTGATAATCCCTATGAGATCGGAATGCATATCATTCAGTTTTACAGTCTATAACATTATTAATGAGTTGTTTATATAAACTGTGAATAACCTTGACTTAAACTTAAATATTTACAAGTGTTTAGCAAACAATGATCAATGATCATATTTGCCTAATCCGTCGAGTGTTGATCGAATTCTGTCGATCAGTTAATTTTTGTTAAGGATTTAAGTTTCTCCTTTTAATAATAATAATAATAATAATAATAATAATAATAATAATAATAATAATAATCTGTTCATTTTTCTTCTTATTTCATCAGCTGACAAGTACAAATCAGAAGAAAGAAACACAGAACAGTTCATTAACTTCTGATACACAATCTTTTCATTCCATTGGAACAATCACATGTAAACAATCACACACCAGTGGTAAAAGTAATTCATCTCATTCAATTGATGATAATAATGATAAATTACAAAAATCGAATGAAATAAATTCATCGAATTGGGAACCAACATCAGAATGGGTTCATAGTTGGAAATTAAAAATGCCTTTTCAAACAATTATGCGTTTATTGCAGGTATTAGTGCCTCAAGTTGAAAAAATTTGTATTGATAAGTAAGTTCTGATATTGTTATTACTTTTCATTTTCTGTGATCCTGTCATTGAATAAAAGTTATTTGAATATCTAGCTGTAAAATATGGTCAACTGTAAGTAGTGTAGAACTTAGCGCATATGTGGATCGGTTCAAGTTTCATTTGCATGTAACTCAAGGAGACTTGGCAATGTCATGCTCGTCATAGCCATTCAGTTTTTTCATTTTTATTAACTCTGACATAGAAATTTTTTAAGAGATAACACTCTCTTCGTTTGACTTTTCAAGGGATTGACTTGTTGACTTAGAATACCTAAATGGTATACTTCTGTTTAGCGGAGACGCTGGCAACATGCAGATTCTTTTGACCTTTAAGTAGCCATGCAAATATGTTGGGATGTGATTCTCTCCTTCCAAATGAAAAATGTTTCTTCAGGACTGACGAGCATCAGTGTTTGAATTGATAACACAGAGTGAAGTAGTTGGGTGCGTCGATCATATCGCTTATTTTCAGTGTCTCATCAGTCCTGATGAGCTAGTGACGGACTAAAGTTCGGTTGGCGTTTGCCAACTTAGGTCACTTGTAGCGCGGATGAAATATCCGTTTTCTAACCAAAGGATTAGTTTACTGCCCAGCACCTCGCTCCATTCTATCTTATGACCTAAATATGACAAATGGGCTGATGAATCAGTAAAGCTCCGACTGAGGTGGTTAGAACATGAGTTACATATGCCAAACCACCGCCTACTTCGACAAGCGATGTCGTTTTGTGCAAGAGTAGATTAAAAGACAACTGATGCTGGCCAAACCAAAACATGATATCAGTCCATGAAGTCATAGACAATCGGTCTGTGCCATGTAAATATGTGTAGACTACCTGGTTAGGATGCACAAGACAATCACAATATGTTAGCTCCGTGCTTTAAAAAGGTTACCACAGAGACGAAAATTTGTAGGGCAAGTTTTGGTGAGCTATTTTTATTACTGACCTTGTCTAACTCTCTTCCTCTTTGAAGCATCGCTTCAAATGTTGATTATTCGAGAGAAACACCTTACTGACGTCATGTGCGTATACAATCGATTGTATAACTCCTCCGTCAGACTACTTATTATTATTATTATCAGCTTTATTCAATATTATATTTTTGGTTACAATATAGAATTCTCAGCGTAAAGTATTTCAACAAGTTTTCGTTTCTTTCTTCTTGGTCGATCCTGGCGATAAATATTGAGTGATCGCCAGTTAGATGTTAGCAGTTCAGTAAATGAACATCTGAATAATGTGCATTCTTTTCATTGTATATTGCCAGAAACCACATTGTCTCTTATTGAGTTTTTTGTAACTTTGACAACGAAAGGTTGTACACTTTTCAGAAACGCAGCAGAATAGGTTATGCGATTAATAAACATAATGATATATTAAAACAAACAAAAATAGATAACTAGTTGAAATATCTAGATGTCAGGAACAGGTAGCCCAGATGCTCAAGCAGGCCGCCTGTTACTTTATTCTTAGGTATCTGTCAAGTCTGATATTTAATATTGTTTGATGAAGAACACAGATTAAACACTTGAAATATTCTTACTTTGATTTGGACAGACAATTAGTATAACTATCATGATTGTTGGGCTTAAAGTCATGTACGTGAACTTGAACGTTGTAAATCAATTATATTATTCTATTAAATATTTCAACCATGATTATATTATTGATAAGTGAAGTTTGATGAAAAAACAATACACAAGAGCATGAAGTGTTGGAAAAATGGGTAAATCTCATTACAAAACTTGGAAAAAATCTTATAAGCCACATCGAATCACCACCATATTATATACATTCGAGGTCTATCGCTTTCTTGTCTATTCTGACGGTCTGTTTACTCATTTATTTGTCGGGTACTAAAAGGTGTAAAGTATTCCATGTCTGGTACTACTCAAAATCATTCCTCTATAGTGAAGGTTCACTGAAAGTTCAATACTTTTCTTAACTCCCATTTATCCTATTCTGGCAATATCATAGTGAGCAAAGTAGAATGGAGAGTGATTTTAAAAAATATAGAAATCAGGTGGATGATTTTGGTGTTGTTTGATTCGCTAAACAAGATGGTTTATTGGCAGAATTTTCAGTATTATTCTGGACAACATCATTAGCACTTCATGCAAGTAAGAGCTGATGATGTCCAGAACAACAACAATAGATTCGTCATTAAATCTCTGAAAACTCAACAACATCTAGAAAATGGAGAGTTGTATGTATGGGGACGATTAATTGTGATGACCAACAATTTTAGTTTCTCACTTATCTCTCAATGTACAAAACATATTGCACTTTGTTCCACTGTAATGATTAACTAAAGTATAATGGAATTTTGTTTCGTTTTTTTAGAGGATTAACAGATGAAACGGAGATTGTTCGTTTCCTTCAAAATGGTACTCTGGTTGGTTTGTTGCCTGTACCACATCCAATTCTTATCCGTAAATATCAGTCAAATACTGGCACAACCATATGGTTTCGTAACTATTTATGGGGTATAATATATTTAAGGTAAGTTTGCGCATTGTGTATATACCATCTATCGTTTTAACGATAATGATTTCCGTAATCAGGAAGTGTATTTTCACTGTTTAGCTAATTACGCTTACTTGGACGCGGTATGTTTGCTATTGTGGGGAAGTAGGCTGGGAAAAGGCATTTAGAGGCTCCCAAATCAAGATATAACATTAGCCCATAAAATCATTGACTGTTGGAATGAGCTATGTAAGTAGATTTCGATTGTCTGGTAAGGGATCCGCTCGGTAACTGCGGTCACTGGTTGGAGATGTGTAAAATGGCTAATGGTCGGTCCACATGGCGTAGGTTCAGTCACTTTTTGAGATGGTTGGGAAGATATGTAGATCAAGTGGATGGTTTTAATGGAGTTTTGTTGTCTGATTTGGAAAACAAAGCCCTTTCAAAATCCATCCACTTGAGCTACAAATTTACTTCACTATTGGGTATATTGCAATAAAAATAGCATGGATGTAGTAAATTATCGTGAAGTAAAGTGTTTATGTTTATAGTAATTGTGAGACTGTAATTTATGATCTTTTAGGGGTGGCAAATTGATCTTAAAAAAATTCACCTACTTTCTAAAGTCAAGAGATGGTTATAAATTAGCATGAGGAGATAGAATTAAGATTAACACTTAAAAGTTAAGGTTTTCACCACGAAATGACATCAACTATGATGCTCAGATGCTATTGAACTACATTAAATGAATAAATCTTGCTCCAAAATTCAATACTTACTATCTTTGCTTTCATTCGTTTGTCTGTAGAAATTAATTTCCTCTATATCTGACTCCAATAAATAGTATCCCGTTAACTGAGTATTTAATGCAGGCTAAATCTACTAGTAGAATTATGGATTCACTCGAGATTATTTAAAAGCCCAAACACCAGTTATAGAGATAATTAATTGTTAAAGCTTAGTAAAATCGGCAAGCATGCAAAAAGCAAGCACACAGGGAAACGAGTGAATGTATGTGTGAGTATTAGAAATCCATATATATATAGTTTGTGGATAAATTATTGATTGTCTCTGTGTTACAACCAATGGGACATGCGCTTAATCAGATTCGCACATAAATTTACGTAATATATTAAATGTCTCGATTACAGTGAGTAGACAAATAGTTGAATGAACTTACTACACGCTCATAAATTATTATAGTCTTATCGATAGAGATTGGTAGATATTTAGGTAGTTTCATAAAAAGTTGTACCAGAAAATGATTTCCAACTTAAGGTACAATGATTTTATTCATAGTACATCGATCCAAGTAGTTCATATCACATTTGTAAATGTCATTCTAAAATATATTATAATACATACAGTATTTATTTACATATTTTAGCATCTTGAATAGATTCTATTTTTTTAAAATTGTCTTTAAGCATTTACCAGTTAAGTTTTATTTATTTATGTAAAAACACATAAATATTAGTACAAGGAGGCACGTCACATTTCACCATTCAGTTTGTGTGCGGACTTGAATTACTGCCCTGGCGCCCAAACCGAAACTGGTGGTTTTCTTAGGAAGCCACTCCCCAAGCCTTTGACCTGAACGTTTAATTCACAAGGGAGTGGAGAAACTTTAGATGTAGTCCCATGGTGGTCGGTGACCAATAATAGGTTCATATATCATTTGTCTTCTGAGGATCCTGGAACCCGTGTGCACCATTGGTTTAGAATAAGGGTTTCCTAATGTTATATACGTATGACTTCAATCATTTCGTGGTATTGCGTGGCTATCTTTTATTATCCGTATTGGATAATCATCTTACACTTGATCTCGTATGATGAGACCCTTAGTAAGGTGGGACAAATGTCCTTCTGTGCTTCTTGGTATTCAATTGTTGTTTAAGTAAGATCTATTCGTAGTGTAAGTTATGAGACCTGAACACTTCACAAATTCATCCTATACTTATATATTTATTTTTTTATATTCATAGGAATGTCACTCCACCTATCTGGTATGAAACCAATGTTCGTCTATTCGAAATCCAACGACTTTAATGCTGTGTTGCATACTATATTTAACCAACTACTAAATTGAAAATAAGTATTCATTAAAAAACTTCCTTTTTCTAATAGTCTATGTTTACTTGTTTGTTTGTTTGTTTTTCATTTTATTTCATTATTACGTTTATGTATACATCATATGTTTGAATAAATAGATATTTTCAGTGTTAAAAACAATACAGTTATAGACATTGTTTGTTTACTTACTCTCAAGTGTTGGTTTTGTTGTGCTCTTCTTTTTATACTTACTGTTAAGTGATCTATGTAATTAAATCGTGCTAATTTTCGTCCGTTTTTTCTTCTTCTTCTTTGAATTGCAAAAATATTCTTTTCAATTCAGTTTGTATCTGTTAATACTACCGATATATTATTACTATTGTTATTACATTCTTTCATACTCCGGTTCGAAAACGTTCAGCATTTTGTGTGTTTATGTATTGAACTATCAGTTACTCATTGTAATTTTTAGTTCAGTCGTTTCTTTCTTTTGTACTTGTGGGTTTTATTTTTTGTTTTCTTTCTTTCATAATGTGTGATATATTTCACATTGTTTATATACCTACATAAAACAAGCACTGTGATATTGTCTATGTGAATACACATTTACCTCAATAATATCCATATGTAATATTTATAGTTTATGAATTGTTCTGTAGACTTCTAAAATAAGTCTTCTGTTCTAAGTGGATTCTCTCTCTCGAAACAATACATTTGATTGTTATTAGTAGTGTATATGTGTTGTGTGTGTGTGTGTGTTTAATCCATTCAGTTGTAGGGACTTAAGAGAAAAAGAAAATTGATAATAAAATAAAGGAGTCCGATTTGTATTCAATAGTCAAATCCTTATCTATTGTTTTATGTCATAGTCAAAAGTGTTGATTCGAAGTAGTTTTTGAACTGTATAGGTGAGAATGCATAATTGTTATATGAAATATTAGTTTCAATTTATTTTACTTAAATGTTAACTTCATATTCAGTTAACTACTTTAAATATTTGTTTTCAAATAATAGTTTTGTGATGTAATTCAGAACTTTTTTTAATTTTGTTAAATAACCAATCATATACTTGTACAGTAACCTAAGGATTTGCAACTTGCGTTTTTATAATGATGAACGAGACGGCGAGACTATAATTTATGGACGAACCAATCAGATACAAGATAACAAGTTACGAATTTGGGCGTGGAATTCATCCATACATTTGGCTAAATAGAGTTTTGGCATTATAGCTAATGTTAATTCGTGATGAAAACCCTAAATCTAATTTTTAACCCTAACTATCAACTGTAAATGAGAATTCTAACTGCTTTATAACCCTCGTTTAGTCCTAATTAGTAGTTGTTCACTCTCAACGTCACTTCAGCGTCGCTCAAAGGTCGTCCATAAATTATAGTTTCACCAACGAGACTGTTTATGTTTCCTTATCTTCCCGTAAACTAGTGATAGAAGTCCATGCTTCTCTTTTGAAGCTTTATTAAAAAGGACTTAGGAAGATGAATTTACATTCAAATTAATATAATTATATGCTGATTGAATTCAATGATTATCATTCATAGAATTTATCAAACTGAGAAATAGTCACTTGAAAATAAAATTATAGTGAATGATCAACGCTAATTGTTAACTGAACAAAAATCATCTTAGATCAATATGTAAATTTTAAGGTTGATTTTCTTCCTCATACATTGTGTATTTGGGAGTTTCACATTCTTAACATGATATAATCTGGTTTGAAAATTTAGTAGGTAGCATTGTTGGTTACTTTTATGGTTTTAAGGGTTACATGCAATGTAGTTATAATTATCTTATAGATTAAGAGCGGTTTAACGGAATTTGGCGTATCCTAAATCTTATACAAATCCGATAAATAAAAGCACTTCAGTTAGCAATATCACTGTTTTTACATTCTATATTCTTGACATAGATAAGTGATCTATATAACTGCTATATGAGTGAAAAATTCTGGGCGGTGACTGAGAAGTCTTAATTGGTAAACCTGATAAACAACATACAGATTATTGGTTTGTCGTTCAAACGTACACAAGAATATACAAGCTAGGACCTTAACTAAGTGTATAATTGACTTCATCCAATTACGCTACTTATCTCCTTTAATCCTATGTTTGGCTTTGGGATGTTATGTGAGGACAGTCACGTTATTTGTCCAAGTTTGCTCAACCTATCATTACACTAAAATAATTAGTCATTGCATCCAAAAGCTAGTCTTCAAGAGTACTGTCTGTGACTAACTAACTTAGTGTATTGCTGCTGGACAGAAAAACAGACTCGGTGCATTATTACTTCTGAAGTCAATCACTTGTAAGCTAGCTCCATTTCTACTTGTCCATTCCGAAAACAGTTGGTTATCTATTTCTGATTGTTAATATCGTTCGTGGAAATGGTTACAACTGGACAGTTACCATCATCTTGTTTAGTCTTTAATTGTAAAAACTCAATTCAATCTGTTATGGTTTGGATTAACTCGTTTTTGCTATTCTTCACTGAATTTTACCTAGTCTTGGTCGGCATATGTGCATCCTGTGAGTATCTCATCGATATAGTTATTACATCACAAGTTTTTGTAAAACATGTAAGATGTGGCTAACAGTGAAATCCAGTACTCTTGTTCCGTGTTATTCGTGACTCGTGAGCTAGATGTGCCCACGTTCCAGTCTTGATGTTTACACCGGACTAAGTAGACCACGCCATGGGCGTTTAAAGTAAAAGATGTTGGGTTCGAGTTCCCTTGTGAGCATCACTACAGACACATCCAGTTTACGAGTCCCGAATAGGTGGATGTGTGTGTCCTGAATTGCTTCTGTGTTTTCTGAGAAAGGGGATGATAAAACCATTAGTTTGTTGAAAATAATATTCTTTATTTTATTATCATATGAACATTTCATAATAGGATCATAGATATGTAGGTTATTTTCATCCAAAATGTGTAACACGTGTGTAGACCCTAGATTAGGTGAACTATCAACGATAGAGATCAGTCTCTTGTATTGTGGCGTGTGCTGCGTATACGGACAGACATAAGAAGTATGTATCAGGAATCTGAAGTAGTACTCCTATTGACGGAAGAGGAAAGTGAGAAGAGAAGGGAAAACAAAAGCAGTCGGAGTAGTAACAGGAATTAAAAAATGATGGTGTTTGTAAGAAACAATATGAAGATGTGCAAATGGTGTATTCATCAATGTGTCGTTTTCATACTTTACTAATGCAGTGTGTGATGTTGATTAACACAATAGGTTGGCTTACCCTATCCAAGTCTTTGTTCATTACAGTATTATCTCATAAATATCTTGTTCAGATTTAAATTGATAATCTTCTAATTTTTACGCAAATTCTTCAGTTTTTATTTTCAACATCTATTACTAATGTGAATTATGATAAAATTCATAAAAAGAATTCCTATTTTTAAATCGAATTCGAAATGATGAACAAAATACACTTGGACAGTCACCAATATAAAAATAATATCACTTGCTATAGGAATAATGGTTATTCTCTATGTCTTTTAGTAACGGTGTCACTTTCTTGGTGCCTTACATGTAGATAATAGGTGACATCAATACAAGTCGAAATAGTTTTTATCAAATCTTTAACCAGCGCTGGTGTATTTTATCGTTAAAACATTTTCGGATTGAAAATTCCATAAATGTCTTCTCATTTTTATTGACTTTCGGTATTTTCTTGTGAATAAAAAAATTGAACATGAATCATATATCAGATGCAAATTCGTGTACCTAGTTTTAAGTCACACTTTATTTTACAAGAGCCAGTGATATTATGCAGCTAATTAACCACATCAAAATAGGTGAAACAAGAGACTCAAATCTATAACTCAGCAGTCGACAGACAAACGCTTTAGTTGGTAAACCACCTCTTTTTTAGTGAATTTTCTCACTTGTTTAGTTTGTATTTTTTTTTGTTTTAAAAAAACGAATAATTAGGTCAGAAGCATTTTAAATTTGTGAGTAAATTAGTATCTGGACTTGTGTGTAATTCCATGTCGAATAACTCTCAATAATTAGCATAGTCAGTTGGTTATCAAAGAGGCATTGGTATGTTAATCGATATTATCCTCTGGTTCTAATTACTGATTAGTCTTTTTTCAAGGTATGCTATACAACTACTAATCATCATCATAACACAATGTTATATACTTTTTCATAGTGCATGAACCAAAAGAATCTTACAGTAGGTCAAATTTTTAGCATCTAATTTCTAAATCTTGAAGCACACTGAACAATAACACGTGCCAAGTCACCAGTCAGAATTCTAGTTTAATATGTTATCTACTCAATAGCTTAGTGTCTTTGACTCGGCCAATTACACGCTCGACCAGCACCATTGACTCTAAGACGGCAGCTAGGCCCCTATCAGTCCACTACTCATTAGCTCCCGTCTATGCTCAATCTTGAGTCCAGAAGTAACAACTAGTTTTTACTATCAGTCAGACGATGTTTATATACAGACATACTAGACTTCATGTGGTAAATAAGAATGAAACACGAATAAACCAAAAATTGGCCATGAGTAAGGGAGATTTTATATGATAGACTGGCAACAAGTAGTAAATCGTGTAACCGTAGTCAACAAATTAACTGAAAGCTTACGATAAATAGAATACATATACATAGTGATCTAGTTACTCGGTGATTATACAGCGAAATTACAATTTATCATAATTTGAAAAACCAATTTCAGCCTTTCTAATATTCGTTCCGTTATAACGCCTGATAAGCTCAGTTTTGTCTGTTTTTTTTTACAGTGAATGTCAACATTTCACATCATCACTTTGAAAGAACTTGGTATATCTTATGTTTAAAACTTTACACTGCTGACTAATCATCAAAACCGAACTTTATTAAGTTGACTTCTTCCAGCTACTGGATATCAACATATTTATTGTTTAATTATCACAATTCCTACTCGCTTTTTTTCTGCTAGATTTGTTTGCATTCCTAATTAACTCAATATAACAAACATAGAATCTGATCATTTCATTGATGATCTTTTATTTTACAAATCATTTTTCGATTTAATTAAGATAGATCAATAAATCCAAATCTATAATAATAAATTAACCTTTCATATAATTCTTCAATTATTGATGAATGAATAAATATTTAATTAACTAAAATTTAAATAGATGCCTAATTTGATAAATTTATTATTATCAGGAGTTTTGTGGAGATTTTAGAAATTTCACTGATTGAAATCATAAGTCAATTGAAGCTAGACCACCATGTAAAACCTGGAAGTCCGTTTCGTCCTAGTATGGGACTCCTCAGCAGCGCGCATCCACGATCCCGCGAGTCCATGCACCTTAGTCTTGATGTCCGCAGCATCGGCCCAATTGTCGACATTCAGGACAAGATGAATCACATCAAGCCAATCAGCACAGGATGCACAATGTCAACAAACCCAACATTCAGTCCTAAATACCAGCAACGGGATAATTCAAACCCCTATCAATAAACTTATTCACAGTTGTTAGGATAAAATAACACTTGCTTATGGATTAATTTGAGGTGACATTCTTCTAAGATAAAAACCACTGAGTGAGCAACGCTGACGTTAGGGCACTAAGTAAAGATGGTAAATAAGTCGAAGAGCTAGTAAAACTGCACCAACTGGAGTGGCCGGATTGTGTATCACATATTCCAAATCACCGCCTACCTCAACGGGCGTTTTCTGATGTAGGCTGGAAGAAAGCTAGGGGTGGCCAGACCAAAACATGCCATCAGTCCATTAAGTCACTGACAATCGGGTTCAGACACATTAATAGGTGGAGATTATCTACTTCAGGTCCGCATAAATACTGTAACCAAAGGTTAGAGTTTATGAAAAGCCTTGGAATTGTGTTCAATGGCACTCCTTGTCTCCCTTTTGAAACTGAATCCAAAAATCCCTCTATACATTTTGTTCTCTATACTTCATCTTCCCTACTGCTACTACTAATACTATTACCATTTCTACTACTCTAGGATTTATCTTGAAATAATTTCATCTCACTATACTAAAGTAGTATATCAACTTGAATCGATGTATATGTGTTACATTTTATGTTGTAGTTCTGGGTTATAATTATTAAATTTAGTTTTGATATCTAATAAATATGTTACAGAGATAATCGTTATTTTCTTTCTTATAACAAGTCGAATTAATTTTATTCCTGTCATAAAAAGATATTGAAATTCTTTGGAACTCCATTGATACCTAACTTTAAAATGAATAAATTTATATCAATAATTTAGGCAAAAACTGTTAGGATGTTCAGAAAAAATATACCAATAATTATCGTGTTAAGTCTAATGGTGGCCTTGGACTCTAAATGTACACTCCCCATTGGTCGGTATTTATTTCACTTGTTAAATATTGTTTTCTATTTTATGGTACGATGTGGTTTGTTTGGTTGGTATATAAATAGAGTATGTCTGAAATATAATGATTCATATCTCAGAGGCTGTGACTTGCGTTCTGGACTCAACTGGCTGGGATAGACAGCGAAGCAGGGCCAATCGGGACTCTAGGTCGTTCATTACGTGCTTACGTGTCACTGAATCGATCAATATAAACGCTGCTTATCAAAACCTGCAGTCCACCCGTTACAACAAAAACAAACTAAGTATTTTCGTTTTCAATAATAATATACATAATACAAACAGGAAGGTGAACAGATCACAAATATTCAGTTATTAACATTTCAGTTTAATTATTTGACTTTGAAAATTTTGTATGCTGACTTCACATTTACCTTTCTCATCATAATCACACCAAATCTGGAAACAAAAAAAAGAAGGAATTAATAAATGAATGCAAATACAACTACAATAATAAATGTTTCGATAATGATCTTAACAAGTATATGTGTGATCAGATTGTTCGAAATGTATTGCGCTAATGCATCACATAGTTCTAATAATCTTTGTCTTCTCATTACATTATCGAAATTTATCAAAGGGACTAACTGTTTTAAATAATAAATGTAAAAAACGTAATTATTTCTTTCATTTCATAAGTTTATGTATTAATTTCAAAATTCCCATAGAGTATTTATGAAGACAAGGAGTATTAGAGTGAACAATCGTCTTCAATAACTTTATCATCAAGCTTTACACAATTATCAATCTGAAATTATCATTTCTTTTATGTTACAATATACTATTGGTTAGAATTCGTCAGTTTAATCAAGCCCTAAATTTCCTTACCTTTTATATATAATCTTTGCTCAACATTAACAATGATTTACTTTGTTTTGTCAGTAATTTGTATCATTTAAAATTCAATAGACCCGAAGTTTGCTATTTTCAATTTATAACATGGATTAATCCAACATGGATATTTTGTCTATTGTAACACAAAAATGATCAGTTTTAGATTTATAACTGAGTAGAGACTGATGAAAAAATTATTGGAAACGATAATTCCCTTAAATAACTTTTCTTTTTTACAAGTTAATTGTTAGGAAATTGTTTTGCTGTCAATTTGCAATTACTTTTCGTTCTAATTTAGATTAGTCTGGAAATATAATACAGACCTAAACTAATGGTTTAAAAGTTAGCATTTTTGATAAACCGGTGATCCAAAAGTTAGGGTTTCCTACTTTTAACCATTACGCCACAGGTTCTAACCTCATCACATCTACTTCAGTTTGGGTAACCAGATAGTATCACCAGCCCTTACGCTTAAAATCTGGCTAATAGTCAAGTATACGGATTTGTACTTAGCAAATGAGTTAATAAACAGTCATTCTTGGTTCAATCTTAACCCTTAGAGGCGAGTGTTACCAGCGAAGTCCTTGAAAGCTTTAAAACAAGTAACGCCTAACACTTGTGGATTGTCATTGTTGTCACCTTATAACATACCAGAATTTGTATGTTATAAACAAATGAAAATGTACCTGATTAATAGTCATCAAGTAACAGTTTTAAATTCACTTGAAGTATTTTAGTGTGGGAGACTATCTGGTGTTTTTCACTGATAAGCAATAAGTTCTTCATCTAAGAAAGTGAACACTGAAGCCAACCTCATAAATATATGATAGTCATTCACAAGAAATAACTTGCCGCTGCTTCGCAGCGATTGGCGTCAATTTATTGTCGTTCTTAACTCAGTGGCATAGAAGAATCCTATATTAAACAATATTGACCATTGTGTCACACTGTCACTTCCATTATGCTTCAAAATAAGCTTATGACAAAATATGACTTCTGTGGATGGAATATGTTCAAGGCATTATTTATTCATTAATAGTATATGAAAACCTTTGGTACATATCGCCAAAACAAAACGGGTCACACAACAAGTACTTCAAGCTACCTTTGGACACTAAGTAACAAAATCTTTGTAGAGATGTGATGAATAAACTTTCTGATCAACGACGGACATTTCAACGAGTAATCAAAATGAAATTCGGTGCAATATCTTAGTATTTTTTCCATGTTTTTGTCCACAATTAACTATCTTATAACGATAATGATAAAATGTGAAACTTTAGGTGCACTTTATATTTTATTACAGACATAAATATCACCACGATTATGAGGTAGGTATTAAATGATCGAAGTAAAAAACGACAGGTATCCAATCTCATAAAGTATTGCTGAGTTTAAAATTAGGTAGACTAGGTACTTGTACAAAACATTAACTACATAGCTATGGCATAACAACATCTGTCAATGTTGCTCATAAGGTATACAGGATTATTTGCACAAATTAAGATGCAAATTAGTTAACCTGAATCTGCAATCATGAACTCGATAAAATCACCATATAACACGTTAAGTGCTGATGGATGAAATTTTGAGTAAACAGGATAGAAAATCACGAATAATGAAATAAGAATGTAAGATTAGAGAATAAATTTAGAATATACACTGGTTCATTTAAATACAGTCATAAACTGTTATTAAACTTTCATTACAAGCAGTTCTACGGAACGAAATGAACTGGGAATGTGGTTAGATGCATAAAAAACGTGAGCTTAATATTTTTACATTGCCCGTAAGTTAAGGATCCGTTTTTAGTGTATACGAACTATTTAAGTCTATCAGATTAGAAATTACACGTAAATAAGTGGTTGATCTAAGAAATAATCAAGAAATTAACTACATGCAGTACAGAACTATAGTCGACTGAAGTAATAGTAACAGACACGCAACGTGCAACTCACCGTAGCTACCAGCGAAACTAAAGTTGTTGCTACTCTTTGAGGCGAGTAAACAATCTACATGGAAACAGTAGTACATACAAAAACACTTGATGTTTACAGAGTTATAGTGGGTATGGTGAACCTAGTAACATGTTAATAAACTTTATAATAAATAATTAGGATCATTTACATTAGTATTGGAACTAAATATAATATTAATTGCACTGTACTGTTTTACCTCATCTGTTAATGAGATGTCATCAAAAACCGCATCGGAGTTGACACTGGAAGCAGACCAACCAGAACGAGGAGAAAACTCAGTAAATTCTAAACCACGACAGTCAAATTTTGCAATGGTTTTGAAATGACCAGAATCATCGAGTGAGTATGGAAGTATGCTACCAGGAATAATGTCTAAAATTTGGGAACATGGAAACAACCTGTCTTAATGACTGCAGTTTTATACATAAAGAATGTTAGTCTATATTATACTAAGTGAAAAATAAGCGGTAAATACCCGCTTAAATGATTGAGCAAAAAGCAGATCTATTTATTTAAAAAGCATTTACTGGCACCAGATTCGAGATGTTTCGTTGGTCCTTAACTAAAATTGTGAGTTGAGAACAATCTGACCAAACTTTATGGAAGCCGGTAGTCATATTGCATACACCTGGAGGTATTTGCAAAGCTTAACTGGCTTAAAAGATTTAGAACACCAGGTCAGTATTTCAGACTATTGTAAAATGATGACTTAGTGGTTATAGTACACGATTTGTAATTGGTTGCCTTTACATACAAACACTTTTAATAACATCAGTCGGAGTGTTACAAGCACTTACATGTTGTGATTCAAAGCTAAAAAAGGGATATTTACATGATTAATGAGTTGCTTTACTTTCTCTGGAAAGGCTGTTGACTATAAAACAATGAGTTGTGGCTTCAAAATCTATTTCGTCTATCCAGCAAAATTTCAGGAATCCAACAGTACAACTAGGCCAGTTACCAAAAACGTAGCAGCAACTGTAAGAAAAATAAAGGGCTAAGCAACACTACTTTATGTTTTATCATGTTTGGACTTACGCTACATTTAATTTCTAAAAGAAACATTCCCTGTTACAATAAGCCTCATTGGCATTACAAAGTCATGTCTATATTCAAGTCATCATAAAATGTAGTATCTGAATCAATTTTTGGTCATAGCTCGGCACGTGTGGATAGGGTTGTTGTGGATTCCAGAATAACCGAATAAATCACTATAGTAAGTTAAAAACTACTACGTAATTTACATGTGTATAACATTTACGCGGGATAGGGTCCGAGTGATAACATCGATATCTTATAAGATTTCACTATCAACTCGATGGAACGATTTATCAAGAACTATGGTTTGGCGGTCTAAGTGAAAAATGGCAAGAAATGTGTAATGTGGTAGCCATCCACCAAGTCGTTTAACAATAAGTATTTACGTGGACCACAAGTGGAACAAGCCGATGAGCTTTCTCTGGTACGTACGTTCTACTCAGCAATAAGCAATCAGTGAACTATAAACCTCTTTTTGAATCTCATGCCTTGAAGTTTGAAAGATGCACAACATGTAAACAGACTGCATACCCGCATTTGAAATTCGTTTACAAAATTTACATCGGATCACTAAATTCGCATCACCGCGACTGTCTTGGATTGGTGTCTTTTCCTGAAATTGTTAGAGCACATGGACTCGCCAACTTACTAAACTGTTAATGTATACGTAATCATGAGTACTTTCGCCGCAGTTCCCGCACTTTACCTATTCATTGTCAGGTCGAGATTATAATTCGAGCGTTCGTACCTTTAAATACCAACGAAAATCATTACATGAAGGACTTAGATTAGTGATATTCGTAAGTTCACAACTAATTTGCACACCAAGTAGCTTAGAGATGCTATTATTCGGTTTATTAAGACTTACTACCATTAGTATTTTCGGAACAATTGGGCTAGTAAATTGTCCGATAAGGATTCAATCGCAAATAGATTTGATCAGTATACGTACTTCATCGAGAGTGAAGCAAAACCAGTATTAACAAAATCAGAAAATGACCTTGACTACCTCAAACTCCCTCCTGATTAAAAATTATTCTTGATCAGAATTTTTTACTCAGGCTTATGTGAAAAGAGGAACACTTAGCATGTTAGAATGATTTTAGATGGTAATAGGCAAAGTGAATGCTTTATTCAGGAGCGGTGTATTTTCTGATTATTATTTTGGAGAAATGATATCTCAATATGTTTTAATATATGAAAACATGAAGAGCAAAGTTTGTCAAATTAATGTATGTCCCCTGGAGGATCGAAGGTTTTTGCCTGAGGGACTCAGCAAAATGTTATTGGACCGCTTGAGGATATGTAAGAGTTCAAGAGTTGACTACTTTCATGTAGTAGAAAACAAATATACAACCTAACCTGATATCCTGGTCATCAGGGTAGCGAATGCTACTCAGAAATTTGGTGTTGTGACTGAATTTTAGTGGCCTCTACGGAATATAACAATCTTCCGGACCCTTCATTTATAAGCAGTTCCCACAATATTTGTTTCAGGACAGTAGTAGTACTGTAGTGACTCACTTTTATCACGAGAACACGATTGGTGTATTGAAAACAATTATTATTATAACCAATTGTACCACTGACTGTTTTAATGTGCTTTTGTTTAGCTGCTAAAAACATCCATTATTCACACACTTTGTTTGTGACTTCGCGCGAATTCGGTTACGTTCTGTAACCAAGATTGTATCCTGGCACGGTCTCGGTATCCTTTCGATACCACGAGATCGCCAGCAAATATGTCTCGACTTGGTCCATTAACTGCCTTTGATATTTGGCTTCCGGGGGATTCTATGGAGTCATTTGGCACGAGTTTCTTGGTAGCGATGTTCATAGTCAATTTCGACTCGACCCCACGCTACAGTATAACTCTATGTTTCTCACATTCTTATTCAAATAGATACCGTACTTCCCTGATGGTGCTTGAACTCGATATCAATATAAAGTGCATACTTCAACAAAAATTGTTGACAAAGCGAGGAGGAATGATCGAAAACTTTCAATGGTTAAGCTCAAGGGGATGAAAATTAGTGTGTTTTATCAAGTGAAGTAGTCTAAAAAGTTTTGTTGACTCTTTTAGCATATGTAAAACAGGTGGTGTAAGTATAGGTGTTCGGTTTGTGTTCAAATATATATTTATCAAGCCTAATCTTACAACAGTCAACTAAATAAGCTGTAACTATCTCTGAAAGTAAAGTCTTCCTCTGAGATAGCGATGCTGTATAAGTTTCACCGTAGAGGTTTATGATCAAATTTAAGGTGCTTTTTGTAGGACCTATATTAATCGCTGCCATAGAAGTTTCTGGGTGCTGATCATTTTATAAAAATACTGAATTGTGAACTTGATTCACTTGATAATTCCTTCCGGACTTTTGGTTGTCTCCGGCACAGACTACCCCCAGAGTCTACAAGATAATAAAAGTTGATAATTAATATCATTGAGAAGAGCTTGCGTAAATGTCAGGACGGTTCATGGATAAACTTGGGGATCTCTAAGAAGCTCAGAAATAGCCGAAGACGTTCTATCCAATTGTCATTTGGAAGAACATTCCAGAATCTCAACGTGTAGCTTCCCTATTGCTAAGAAACCAATGTATACGAATTAGATGACTATAATGTTGATTCTGCTTTTACTAAAAACTATAAATACCTGGGAGTTTTGTATTATATTTGACACTGTTTAGAATAGCATTTCCTGTTACTCGGCCTCCGTCTTCTCATTTACGACTTGAAGGGTTCTGGCGTTTGAGTGCTCAATTAGTACATGGTATATCAAGAATCTAGGCCCCAGATATAAAAGTAAACCAGATCATTTCTTTGAGCTCGTGCCTCGGGATAAGGTTACATTTCATCCCAGTATTATTCGACGAGAGCAGCCCAGGCGTTTTACTAAACTGATCCCGATGAATTGAACTTGTCATTAGCTTATGTGAATGAGTTTGTCAATACATATATCGGCGTAGTCGCTTTTCATTTATTTAGAGCCTATTATTCTGACCACATCGGCTTCTCTCCAACTACATGGAGAACTGGTAAACAGTCATATAACTTGGTGTCTATTTGTAGAACACTTCGACAGTTTTCGCTTCGCAACGGAAGAAGCGCGAACTTGTGTTACTAGCTCCTAATCACACAATAATGCCAAACCAGATCATATCCATACGGCCCCACAAGAGTGTTCAATTTTACGTGTGTGATGGCGGATGCAAGTGTGATTGGTCGGCAAGTATGGACAAACATACTTTCAGCCTTGTGATTCCCTTTCTTTGTATTGATTTCAGTTTTGAACACACTGAGTGTGACTGCTTGGATTTGCGTGGAATAAAGTAGTGTCCAGCCTTACTGTGTCTATACTTTTGGCTGTAAATCAGTAATCTGACGTAAAGTTATTTGGTTTTGGTAAAGTGTAATGATCAAGTATCTAGTCTGGCAGCGATGTAAACTCGGGTGCCAGTTTTATGGGAGGTAAAGTCAGGCCCACACGTCGATGTCGTGCCTCCTGGATAGTAGAACTGTTGGGATATTCAGGAAAATATCCCAAAAATTATTCTGATAAGTCTAGCACTATCCTTGAACTTGAAATGGTGTCATTTTCTTATTGGTCAATATTTATTTCACGTGTCGTTTTCCTACTGGTCAATATTTTTCAATGTTATTTTCTATTTTATGGTACGATGTGGTCTGCTTTGTTAGTATATAAACAGAGTATGTTTGAAATATAACGATTCATATATCCGAGGCTGAGACTTGCGTCCTGGACTCAGCTGGCTGGGCTAGACATGGAAACGAAACCAATGAGAACCCTAGGCCGTTCTTGCGTGTTTGCTCGTCTTTGGTCCGATCGATAATTTGCTGTCCTCTATTCTGCCGTCACAGTTATAGCAAGAACCTAATCTCATGAACCAGCGCCAGGTAGAGATCGAGTCATCCATTTTTACTCACGCCAGTTACCCCTAGTCGAGGACCATAGGCCGTCCATAAGAGTTCTCCATCCAATCCTGTCCTGGACAATCTTTTCCAGTTGTTTCCGGTTGATATAGATCATGCCTGTAAAAACGGTGTGTACCTGCACATGCAGAAATATATTATATATATATATATATTATCCTTTTCATGTCTGCTTCTAAATCCCGACTCAGTGAGTTCTTTGGCCTTCCACTTTTCCGCTTCACTTCGGGATTACAAATTAAAGCATTCCTCGCGATGCAGTTTGGTGATTTCCGTAATGTATCCCCTATTCAATTCCATCATCTTTTTCTAATTTCCCTTTCAGCTAGAAGTTGGTTTTTTCTCTCCCGCAGAAGGCTGTTGCTGATGGTATCCGACCAACGCACATTGAGTATCTTGTGTAGACATCTGTTTATAAATGCTTGTATACTTTTTATTATGCTTGTAGTAGTTCTCGAAGTTTCAGCTCCGTACAGTAGAACTGTTTTGAATTTCGTATTGAAGATTGTGACTTTGATGTTGGTCAGCAGCTGTTTTGAGTCCCATATATTTCAGCTCTGAGAAAGTTGTCTTTGCTTGGCCAATCTTTGTCTTTATGTCTGTATCAGGTCCTCCACGTTCATCGATGATGCTCCGCAGGTACGTGAATGGTTCCACCTCTTCCAGTGCTTTTCCATCAAGTGTTATTGAGTTGGTGCTCTCTTCGTTGTATTTGAGGATCATGGTTTTTCCTTTGTGTATGTTGAAGCTTACTGATGCAGAGGCTGCTGCTTCATCAGCTGTTCTTACCTGCATTTGTTCGTGTGTATGTGATAGGATGGCCAGGTCTTCTTCGAGGCCCAGATCATCTGGTTACATCCATGATGTCCATTTTATTCCGTGCTTCCCACCAGATGTGGACGTCTTCATTATTCAATCAACCATCAGAGGATAAAGAAGGTGAAAGAGTAAGCAGCCTTCTCTTACTCCAGTCCTCAGTTGGAATACATCTGTCAACTGTTCTTCATGCACTACCCTGTAGTGTAGTCCGTCGTATGAATTCCGCAAGATTTTGAAGATTGTCTCAGGTACACCATAGTGTACCATTTATTGGTATCGACTGAGTTAGTAAGTTATGAGTATTGATCAATATAAAATTAGGATAATACACGTGAGCAGTAATCAGAGGACTAATAGAATGCTAGGTTAACATAAATAAAAATCGATCGAGAGAGTTAAAGTGGAAATAAAGATCAACAATAATAGGTTGCATTTCTTTAGTCGGGTTTAAAATGAAGAATTATGGTCTGCTTTGTCATTATTACTCCTATAATAATAGACCTAACCCCAAAGTTGTAGATTTGTCACGATATAACTGTCTAATCTATAAGATCTTACATGAAGTCACATCATCGTCTACACCAACTCATCGCGCCATAATAACCACCAATACATGATGAAGAACGCAATCAGGCTGCGGATAGAATAATATATTTAATATAAGTAAAAGATATAAGGTAACACTTAACAGGGACCACGCCTGAAAGGCCAGGCCATGTCATACGATCGACTAGAATTAATTTAATTCATTGTTGCCGCCTTCTCCATCTCTGCGTTTTTCTCTTCACTGAATGTTGAACATCTGTTTCCTCAATCGTCTCGTTTTCAATTTTGATGGTTGCGTGGTTATAGCCCTATGTCACTATATGATCACGTCTGCAAGGCCTAGCCATGCTTTGACTTCATTCTTCACGCCTTCTCCATTCTTGGGTTCTTCTCTCAGTTAGATGTTGAATATCTATTTTCCCAGTTTCTCGTCTTCCGCTTCAAGGAGTGTGTGGTTGGTGCCCAATGCCACTACAGATATCCTTCCTTTGGTAAATTGATGAGGTATTTCTCTCTCCAGTTCATCGGTACTTGTTCTTCCTCTCAAATTTTCTTGAATAGGGCATGAAAATACTTGCAGTCACTCCGACGTCTGATTTTAGTTATTCAGGTGACATATCGTCAGGTCCTGCTGCGTAACGTCTGTGTGTGCTGCTCCGATGTTTGACGGGTTCCGTGGAGCTGGTCTGTTCTAGAGTTCCTCA